CCCTACTCGTAATATTTTAATGTGTGTGTTGATTTGTGGACTTTGCCATAAATAAATTACCCTTCGTGGACAACAAAATATTTCATTTCTATTCTGTGCTATTCTCTTCTGTTCTCTTCTAATTATTGTTTAAATCCGATGCTAGCTAAAGCAAAAGCTGTTCTGCATCTGATGGTGGTTTTGTTATTTTTACAACAGGAAACATCCTAATGCTTGAGGACAGGGGCAGCTCATCGACAGAAAGACTTATGCTGATAGACTTTGAATACAGCAGTTACAATTATAGGTAAAATTAGTTCTTTAATCATTCTGTGGATTCACTAGAAACAAAATAATGTTTTGGTTTGAGAAAACTAGTAATTTGGACTTGTTTGTATGTCTTACTTTCATTTGGTAGGGGTTTTGACCTTGGGAACCATTTTTGTGAGTGGATGTATGATTACACACATAACGAGTGGCCGTTTTACAAAGTTACACCCGAGAACTTCCCAACCAGAGAGCAGCAGGTGAGTCCAACCATGGTGCATTTTGATTGAGATGATTCATTTTCTTTGCCATGAAAAAGACTGAGGCACCTAAAAAAAAAAAAAGAAAAAATTAGGAATTTAAAATCTCAGATTTATATTTTCCTTAACCTGCCGTTTTTTTTAAATGGCACATATTGGTTTCCATTAAAATAATCTAAGAGATTTCTTAAACCACATATTCTAGCCTCTTCCTGTTAGTAGTTATTTATACGTTCTTTTAGCAGAAGAGGTGATGTGGCTTATATGAAGGAGAGAGAAGTTGCTGGAATTTGGGGTTGATTTGATCATTTTGAAAAAGAACATTTCTCTATTTATTCTATCCAGCATTTGGTGTGTCCATTCCTAAAATATGTAAAAGCTGTCATGCTTTTTATAGTTGGGGCCACCAAGGGGGGCTAGGGAGGCCTCTGAAAATTTGAGGAAAAAAACTCTGGGATTAAAAAATTAACTTTGGGACTTATCTCTTGTCCAACAATGGAAGAAAGGACTCTCCCTCCATAGCTAACAGGTCACTGAAATGCCTCTCTTTTTATTTTGAAGCAAACTGTGTGTGAGACTTGCTTTTCAGCTTTAGAGCTACTGAAAACATCATAGATCACATCTAAAAAGTGTCAAGAGATTGAGCCCAACCCTCCCATTTGAGTTTTTTTTTTCTTTGTTCTGTTCTTTAATATTTTTGATGAAGCATTTGTTGCTCAGTAATAATATAATACAGTGTTAAAAAATAGTATTTAGTATTTTTATGTTAAAGAACTGTTTATAATGATAAAATATGGATAAAAGTAAAAAGAATTCCCAAAGTTTGTTTATTTTTATCATCTGAGCCTCTGAATAGGCTAACGGCATTTTTCAAATCCAGCAAGTCAACAACAAAGGATGAAAGCTTAAAATTAAAAACAGCAGCTTTACTCTAGGATGTTCAGACTTACTTTTATCTGCTGAAGTCTTTGCCTCTGTTTAAAAGAAAAGTCTTTAATGACGAACCAACCAATGGAGGCAGCTGGATGAAATAAGACTTTCTATGGACTGCTTTAAGCATTAGAAATGCTGAAAAGCTCTAGGTAACATTTATGGACAAAAGGATTAAGTTCATGTAATGTTTTTGCTAGATGTTAGGCTCCTATGAATATTATTTTTGTAATTGTTATTTTGCTAAGGCTAACAGTTAGGGGCCGGGATGTTGGAGCCTATTAAGAATTAGATTCATTTATTTTTTGCAAAATTATTAATGTTAAAGATTAAGGTTATGTGAATGGTAGAGCTATTGTCTATTTGTTTATGTATTGGTTTTGCTTTGACCCTTCTCCTTGTCAGTCCGCCTCCTGCTGAGATTAACAAGTAGAAGCAGCTGATGAGGTGGATCTGATTGTTTGTTTGAAGGAGTGAGGAGTGCAACAGTTCACGTCACTTAACTTTATATTTGAATTTTTTGTAAGTCAACTCTGGGAATATTTCTGTTATTTTTTTATAAGTAAAGAAAACACCCCTTTTTTGAAACAAGAAAATTCTCCACGAGTGCTTTTTGTTTTGTGAGTCGAAAAACCTCCTCCTAAGACTACTCTGGCAATTTTTGTTTTTTTTTGGAAACTTTTTTGATGCAAGAGTAGCCGTAACAAAGGCCCTGTAAAATATTGTTTCCCATTGAAACGTTTGCTCTGTAATATTGTTATCTAAAACTGTCCTTGTTTAGTAAAAATGTTATCCAGAGACTTCAGTGTCGGATGTTAGTATCTGCAAATGCATGTCAGTGCCATGAAATCCTTTGTACAACTGCATTGTTTTTTTTTTTTCTTCTTTTTTTCTCTATGATAAGTTTAGCAGCATCTTAGGCTTTTGTGAAAGCTTAGCTTTTAAAAAAAATACTGTTTTTTATTCTTATAAACAGTTAATGTAGAAAAAAAACATCAAACATTTTACTGTTTGGATGCAATGTTTTTTTAAAGATTAAACTTAGTGTTTTTGTTGTATGCAGTGACCTCTATTGGTGAAAACATGTTTATTAAAATAGGCTCAGGAGAGGAATCTAAATTCAGCAGACGTTCAGTTGAATTAACACAGCATACTTAGTAAATTACTGTTTCCTCTACAGTGTTTTCACATGTCAATCATTTAAATATAATTTCAGCTGCATTTCATCCGAAGTTATTTGGCAGAACAACATCGCCACTCCAACAGTGACCTGGACCAGAGACAGATTGAAGAGGACATGATAATTGAGGCAAACAGGTAAAGCATTAAGCATTGCTTTACTGCAGCTGTGAGTTTTCAGTTGTTAATATTATAGAAGAGTCTAAACCTGTATTCCTTTCATTGTGTACTGTAGATATGCATTAGCATCACATTTCCTTTGGGGGCTGTGGTCCATCATTCAAGCTAAGATATCCAAGATTGAGTTTGGATATATGGTAAGGATTAGTTTTTGTTTTTCAGCACGACTGACATCTACTTTAGCAGTGTTTAAAACGTTTCTTCTATTGTTTGTTGGCTTTTAAAATATTCAATGCAAACTCTTGATTGCAAAAAGAATTCTTTATGGTCCCAATCATTTATATTTTGTTACCAATGTTAAGGAAACAACACCTACAGTGTAATAACTTACTGAAATCCTGTAGCCACAGTTATATATGTATACTTCTCTATAACTGCCCATTATGCACGTCCAGCGTTGACCTCATAGTTTAGATTCTTGTAATCACTTTAAAGTGTTTTCTTAGCATCATTGAAGCTGTAGGTGCAGGATACGGTCCTGTAAAGAACTTTTTAGGTTTCTCCATTGAGCAAACCTTTGCGGTTTCTAATTCAGAGCTTCAACTGTCTTTGTGTATAAAGAAGCAGCCTTTTGTCTTAAAAACCTGTATTTAGAACATGCATCTATTTTTTGCTAAATGCTAATCCTATTGCTTTCCGACTGCCTGATCATGGTTAAGACCTGGTCCAAGTGTAAACCTACCACTTTTTGATGCATGCGTAGACTTACTTACTCTGAGGGGCAGTTGAAATCATCAGTTACTGCAAATTTTAAGATGCATCTAATCTCACCCATCACTCACATTAAACTCTCATTTTCTGCATTTTATCCTGAAAACCATATATTTATTTTGCAACCGTAACCTCACAAGCTCTTTTATATGACTCAAAGATGCAGAAAGGCTCTGTCTTTTCACCTCAGAAATCCTGTGTTCCTTTATCTTTTTGGGGTTCAAGTCAGACATTTAAATTCCTTGTCTTTTACATTATAATCACCACTTTGTAAACTTTTTCTGTCTGTGCAGGATTATGCTCAGAGCCGATTTGATGCCTACTTCAAGCAGAAAAGGCTCTTCTCCTAAATCCCTTGGATCAGAAAAGCAGAATGTACTGTCTTGAACTCTTTTATCATCTTTCCAGCTCTGTTCATGCTTATGCAAAGACTTGATATGCTCTATTTTAATGTCTGATTGTAGTTCGTCAATGTAAAAAAAAAAAAAATGCTTTTAAAAGATGCACAAATTCCGCTTCTGGGCTGGAACATTTACCTTTTAAGAGCCTCTGTTCTGTGGACCACTTTGTGACCTCTCTGCATGTTTAATCATTTTGCTGTGTTCTCCGCATGTCAGAGGTCAGAGGTCACTGAATGTCAGAGAATTACGGTCTTCACCTGGAACTGAAATTTGAATCAATTTTGGAACAAATCCAAACTACAGAGTTTCTGAAGTGGAAAGCTTTTGTGTAACCCTTTACTGTAGAGTTTTTACTAATTCTACCTCATTTTTCTTAATGTCCACTCCACAATAGGATGTATACATTCTTCATTAATTCCCTCCAGACTGACTTTCTTGTGAGTTAAACACTCCATGTGCTATCTGTTGATAAAATCCAGATATTCTTATCCAGTTATTCCTCAGAACTCGGTAAAATATTAAAACCCATTCATTTTAAGCACACAGTAAAATAAGGGCTATTTCCTACAGCTTCACAGTTGTAAACAGCACTGCTTGTGAAACCATGAGAGGAATTGTAACGTTTACATTAACTTTATCCTCGTTGTTTGTTTTCTTCAACACTCACAGCAGTTACTAATAGATGGTTTCTGCTTTACAGCCTTCTGTCATGCTTAAAGTATTTATGCATTTTTTTTGTTAGTATCAGCTAGTAATAACAGTTCATGAACTCAATTTCATTTTCAACACCATCTTTCAGGGTTGAGATGCATTGGAATATGAAGGAGGGTTTCCAACTTTCTGAATTGTTTCTGAAATTGTCTCTAAAAAGTGTTTTTTTTTTTTTTTTTTTTTTGACTGAACATAGACCTGTGAATTTTAATGATATAATTTATGTGTCCGGTTTTATTTAAAACTTTTCCTTTTGCAGTGTCACCCTATAACTACTTGTCTGGATATTTTTCTACTAATAAGAAAAAAAATCGTAGTATTAAAGGTCTTTGCTTGGAAACAGTATCACTGCTTGTGTGTGAGTCTGATTTATAGAAGTATAAAATGAGATTTTTTTTATGAACTGTGACGTTAATCTTGCTTTAAAGTGCAAAGTACACAGATCTATTCCTAAGTTGGAATATAATTAACATTTTACTGTATTAATTCAACTCTAAAACTGAAACTGTTGCAAAGATCCAGAAATATTCAAACTATTTATCCACCGGATTTCTTTAATGCATACGTTTTTGCTCACCATAATATCCACAATATTTGCACTCTGTGCTCTTTTGTTGATCCTTCTCCATGAATACCTGCATCAGTGATGTGCTGCCTGAAGGTGCTCAGACAGTGGTTTTACTAAGATGTTAACATCCAGGTTTGTTTGCTCATGGTACGAAGCTCATCTGCTTTTCTAGCTCTTCTGTTCTTCATCTTTCTCTCGACGAGCTTCCATAATTTCCATGTTTGCTCCATCAAATGTGGTGATGCCACGGTCATTAAACCTGGATTTACATTTTCGGCATTGTGTGACTGTACCAGCAGTGCTATAAAATCACTGAGTAATCAAGTAAAGCTTAGCAGACGGGAACATGAAGGATTGAATGCTGTTTATTCAGCTATGCTGACTACACGATTATTATTTACCTCCACATATGATTCACAACAATAACTGTCTATATAAACAACCAGTTAAGTATAACTTTCAGGTAGTTAACCTGATTTTGTAGGCTGTAAGTCATTTGGTACTGATTTACATTAAATTGACATTTTTGGTCCTTATGTGTTATAGAATTTGAGTTATTGGCCTCTGTTTGATGAATTTATATATAATGCAGTATTAGTTTCATTTGATAGAATTAGTGAAATAAATGTATCTTTCAATAAAGCCTCAGTTTAATGAGATAGACCAGTTCTTTGAGGTACTGATGATGACGCTGAGAGCGACATGGGTGCCATATTTATCCCACAGAGCTGACAGTTGCTCCGCCTACAAGATCTAAGAATAGCCCAGCCAAAATGGACAGCTCTGCTTGAAGATCGAAGGACTCTGACAACATTTTCATCAAGTAAAGAACGAAAAGATTTGCTGCAGAGGATTTTTTATAATTAATTTTACTTGCAGCTGTGTTTATTCTCTATACCAATAGCTTTGATGTTGATGATCTAACAAAAACTCCCAGTTTCACTGCGGCTTTTTTTAGTCATAATGAACTGTCTGTATGTAGTCTGTTAAAGATTAGTTAAAAATTCTGGAATTTTGATTAAATCTTCATTTCATTTTCCACAACTTTAGATCCATACAGTATGATTAACGCAGTGATGCAGTGTTTTATAACACTCATTAAGGCCTTGATCGTATGCTTGAAACATGGTATTCAAAGACTGCTGGATGCTAACTCGGTTGTCATCAGCTGGTTAGTATCCCCCTTCGTCCCTAAAAGAAGATCAAGTCAAGCAGAATCAGAGGAGTGGAAAACCAATGAGATCCTTCGCACGTTTCATCCAGGAGATGAGAATGGGGTCAACGTTACAATCCAAACCAGCTCACATGCCTTCCATGTGAGTAAACTCCACTGTTTCCAAACTGGATGAGCTTCTCAAAATAAATGATCATTTATTTCATAAAGGTGGACCTCCAAAGGCTTTCAGTGTGCAGCGAGTACTTCAGAGCGCTGTCCCAATCCAGGATGAGAGAGACGTCAGAAAGACTCATTCATCTGGAACATGTGTCCTCTGACATTTTCTACAACCTCCTTATGTTCTGCTTCAATAATGATTTTAAAGTTCCTGCAGAAGAATTGGAGGGAAACATGCAGGTATCCAGTCAAATATGAACCTTGGTCAATGATCCATCTAAATCTAGTAACTCTTGTTGACCTTCCTGCTCCTTAGGTGGGCAGCTATCTTCTGGCTGAAGCCTTCGTCTCCAGGTGCCTGTTAGCCCTGGCACATCAGCTCACTCCGTCTAACTGCTTATCATACCTGAGACTCGCTCAGGATATTTTCTGTGTAGAGATGAAGAACACAGTGCTCCTTTATTTGAGTGTGAACCTGCTGGAGCTGCCACTGATAATGAGGTAGGCGCAGATAGAATTCACAGGTTTTCTAATACCTCTGAAATCCCTGAGACTGATCTGCACATCAGGTGTCTGAGTGATGAGGAGAGGGAGGAAGTCATCAGCCTGAGAGTCAAAGGAGAACCACGTCTGTGCAGCTTCAGGAAAGAAAACCTAACTTCTTGGAATGACCCTGAAACAGAAGCTGCTCGGCACATTTTCACCATGACTGGTTCAGAGGACAGTGGGGACTGGCACGCTGTTACAGAACTCCCCTTTAGGGCGGATAAGTGGTGTTTTACTGCAGTGGTGCTGTATAACTACCTGTATGTCATAGGAGGCTACAGGCAGCGTATGAAGAGAGGCTGGGAGTTCACCATGGCTTCCTATAGATATAACCCCTTTAAAAACTCATGGGTGGCTACATCACCTCTGATAAAGGTATAACAGTCCTGTGGGTCTAAAACCTCACTGCATTTCTTCTTGTAACATCATTCATATATTAGCATTAATTATCTCCATTTTCTGCTTCACAGCACAGAAGGCACTTCAGCGCGGTGGCCTGTGGAGGCTTCATCTATGCGGTTGGGGGCTGGTATTTAGATTCGCTGGTGACTCCAGACTCAGGCACAGCTCTATACACAGCTGTGGAGTGCTATGATCCCTGGAAAGACACATGGAGGTTTGGACTCTGACAGAGGTGTCAAAAGTATTCATGTTTTTTATAAATCCTACTGTTTAAAAACCTTTTTGTAAAAGAGTATAAACTTCAGATTTTTACTCCGGTAAAAGTGTAAAACTAACATTTTTAAAACAACTTGAAGTATAAAAGAAGAAGTAATGCAGGAAAAAAAGGACAAATGCTTTAAACCTTATACTGGTTACTATAATACACTATTAAAGGAACTTTTTTCCCCAATTCTGGCTGATAACGTCCTTATACTTAATTTTTTTAGTTATGTAACTAATTGTAACTCACATTTTTCTTTGCATCCTAGTAAAAAAATATTTATTTTGGTATGTGGTGAACAACATGTTGGTGCATTACCGAGTCCAACCACAAAAAAATTGTCTTAATTGTCTTAATCTTGATGATTTTTATTTTTTCAAATACCATCTATCTATTTTCCATCACGCTTTATCCCAAGCAGGGTTGCAAGGGGTGCTGGTGCCTATCGACAGCTGTCAATGGGTGAGAGGCGGGGTACACCCTGGACAGGTCGCCAGTCTGTCGCAGGGCAACACAGAGACAAACAGGACAAACATCCATTCATGCACACACTCACACCTAAGGAGAATTTAGAGAAGCCAATTAACCTAACAGTCATGTTTTTGGACTGTGGGAGGAAGCCAGAGTACCTGGAGAGAACCCAGGCATGCTCAGGGAGAACATGCAAACTCCATGCAGAAAGACTCATGGTTGGGAATCGAACATTCTTGCTGCATGCACTGTGCAGTCCTTTTTTAAATCCCTACAGGCCATAACGAAAATTAGCTTAAATGAAACAAAACTGATAAATATATTTTTAAAATGTAAGGAGTAGAAAGTAGAGATAAATATCAAAAAAGAGGAGTAAAAAGTTGTCTAAAAAATAATTACTCCAGTAAAGTATAGGTAGCCAAAATTTTTACTTAAGGTAACAAAGTATTTGTACTTTGTTACTTGATGCCTCTGGACTCTGTGGAACAGCCAGGGATGTGCGGCACTGCCAGCAAAAAGTTCACATTTATAGAAAAGTATATGATGTAGAGTTGAAACAATACAATATAAAAGAGCAGTATTGACATCACCCTGATCAAGTTTTAAGGGCAGTTTGTAAAATGCTGTTAGAATAGAAAAGATTGACTTTATAGAAAACCTCAAATAGAAAAGAGAACATTGGACAGTTTTAAGTTCCATCTGGACAGTGATCCTAAATTATCAGCATTTTCAACCTGCTTAACTGTTTCTTTGCCAGACAGAGCCCTCCAGTTAATTAACTGTTACCTTTGCTAATATAGAAAGTATTTGTAGATCAGTGCTTATATTTCCCTTTTCTATGTCTGTTTCTATCTTCTTAACCCAAGGTCCGTCTTGGCAGGTGGCTGCTCACGCTCAGCCTGGTTCTGCTGGAGGTTTCTTCCTGTTAAAAGGACGTTTTTCCTCTCCACTTTCACTGCATGAATCCGGGGTGTTAGGGATTGCTACACAATGCAATACAAGCCGAATGTCTACTGTTGCTACATGTTCGTCCAAGAGGAATGAATCCTGAAAAGTCAAAAACTGGAAGCAGTCAGCTGGGTTTCCTTACACAGAAAACTTTTCACCAACCTGAATGTATGACTAAATTGCTTTGTGTCTGTAAAATGCCACCAATTGAGCTGAATTAATAAAAACTGCTTTTAAATGTTCATTATAAAGACAAATATTAAGAATTTAGGTTTTACCTTCCCTCTAACCCTTTGAACTAAACTTTAAAATCAGCTCCACTCCAGAAAAGGAACCAGCAAAGCATCTAGTAGGAATTAGACCCAAAGACTTGCTGACAGCAAAAGTCTGCATCCAAATTCTCTGTAACTTACTATAAAATGTAACGATATAGTATGCATAATTATGAACATGCTTTGATTAATTCACTTATTCCAATTAGAAAATAAATATCTGGAATATCCACGAAGTGGGATTTTGAGTCAAATTAAATATATTAAAACCACAAAATTAAATATTTGTGCCAATTAAATGTCTGCAAACTTCTGACAGACATATTAAGCAACTCATTATGATGTTCCATGTATTAGAAATGCATCCTTGAGTCATTTGCATAACTTCTGTCTTAGGTTTGTATCTTCATTACCGCTGACTGACTTCCAGTTCACCATGTCCTTATCCCATGATGTCCCCCTCACTTCCAGCCTTGGAGAGTGTATCTATGTGCTGGGAAGCATCCAGAGGACAGGGGAGAAATTACTGCTACAGTATGACACAAAGCAAGGTGCACAAAACAAAACCACAACTTTCCTTCCCTGCTTCTTTTCCCCTTCTAGTTGCTCTCTTTGTTTTGGTTCCAAAATTGGCCTCAAACTACACAACTTAAATCTAGATTAGTTGTTTTCAATCTGTGCTATCCTTTTTTGCTGCAGATTCATGGTCTGAACTGCTTCCTACTCTGACAAGAGCTGATGTAGACCTTCTGACTCTCTACTTCCTGGGAGCTGCTGACAAGCTGCTTGTGATTGGTGGAAACAATGCAAACAATGTGGTGACATCATTCTGTGTGAAATCTAAAAAATGGGGGCAGGTAAATATCCTATGATTTTATCTAATCATTTTAAGAGTGTTATCTGAGCACAGATGGCTTCCCATATAATTCTGATACGTTGTTCTTCTTTCCCTTTAGATCTACAGGGCAGAAAAAGTATCATATGTCGGACAGGGGACACTTGTAGATGAGCAGCTCCTGATGCCCAGTATAGAGCATAACACAGTCATAAGGATGGATCTCCAAACCCTAACCATCAGTATGCTCCCACCTTTACCTATACCCACGCGCTATGAAGCTATCTTTTACCTTTACTTGTAATTCTCAAGCTTACTGGTTTACTAATACTTTCTATTATGTAACTGTTTTTGGATAATTATGAGAGGCACTTTAAAGTTGTTTAAAACGTGAAGATATTTCTGCTTAAGCTTTTTCTTAGTTTTTTGTAAAGTGTTTTAAACCTTTCCAGGGGTTTTTGTCAATTCCAGCGGCTCACACGAGAATGTGCTAACCTCCTTTTTTTACCCTGGGATTTACATGTCTAAGCAAACTGTGACATTATTTTCTCTCTGATTTGTTGGGATTTGTTTTCTGTTAAGTCTTTGATGAAACCGTGCTTAAAGAATTCATCTTTTCTGCTGTTGGTGCCTATCAAGTCCACGTTAGAGTTAATGTACTTGTTTTTTACTGTGTAAAAAAAAATAAGCACCACTAAACACAGCCAATAAGCTACTATAGTCTAGGAACAATAGAGGTAAGAGATGGTGGAGTCAAAATAATAAGAACTGATTGGAAGAACTTAGTTCTTAAAGTGTTCACAAACTGTAGTCAGTAATATTTCATGCCTAAATGATCTTTATATTTCTGCTATTTCTAAAATTAGACCCTTCAACAAAACAATGAAGGATTGATGGACTTTACGGAAGTGTGATGGAAAGCTCCTTAGGACCCACCAGGCAAAGAGCCCTGAGGTTTTTTTTTTTTTATCAGTTCAAAACAATACAAGAACAAATATATGAATCACAAATAAAAACTGATGGTGAACAACAAGCTATTGGGTTTAATATAAAAATAAACAACAAAAAAGGGGGCAGAACCATAGATTTAAGTACTTTGAACAAATCGCTTTTTGATAATTGTTGTGAGATTGTTCTTGCAGTTTTCAATTTCTTTTTATTTTACATAGTAATATATAATACATTTTAATTTGTTGACAAAAAAGGGGAAAAAAAAGATTTATTTCCTGCCCTCTTGTCTAAGTATCTTTAGTGACCCACCTTTCAGACACTTAGTATAGGGCACTGCAGGCTAACAAAAGAAGCCGAACGACCCATATTCCAAACTGTTTGTTTTTATGTTTTCAAAACAAAAACAAGGCTTTGTTGGGCTGCTGTATAAAACCTCGAACTCAACTCTATTCCTGACATTTTTAATTGAAAAAGCTTCTCCGATGGGAAGCAAAATGTCTTCAAAAGTTAGAAACTAAATCCAGTGGATTATTTTAAAAAATTTTTATGTTTTTTTGGAAGGAGTTGAGCTATTTTTCAGAATATGTTACTGGAAGACTTTAAATAAAAAGTAGAAATGGAAGCAGAGGTGTAAGAGTAAGAGTAAAAAAAATAGTTTAACATTTTTTACTCAAGTCAAAGTAAAAAAGTATTCAGTAAAAAGGCTACTTGAGTACTAAGTAACTGTTGGATACTAACATCAGATTTAATGTTTATAAATGATGCTGGCAAACAGACTTTATATATGGGCTTATAAAGTGTCAAACGCCTAAATAATACAAATAAATGTCATGAAAAAAGAACAGCAGATTTTTGCAGAAGAAATACTTTTACCAATTATTTTAATAACATAAAAGAAGACTAATCCCTACAATGATAACTGTATATATGTTAGGACAGGGTAATGGACTTCCACTGTTAATATTTACTGTTTAGTTTATGTTTACCTGATTTTGGAATAAATTAAATTACTTTCAGAGGAGAGAGTGGTCAGAGATTTTACTCAAGTAGGAGTAGCAATATTTTACAAGAATATTACTCAAGTAAAAGTAAGAAGTAAGGCACATTAAACCTACTAAATGTAATTTTTTCTCAAATTGTTACTCAAGTAAATGTAACTGAGTAAATAATTATTAAGCACCTCTGAATGTAAGGGAACATTGTCAAAATGAAACAAGTAGAAAAACCTCAATCATGCAACTGGAATCCAAATAAAGAAGGAGCATATTAACATGTTCAGCATCTTAATTTATATAATTAGTCACCTTGCTGTGTCAAATAATATTTTATTGGCGAATTAGGTGAAATGTCACATGGATCAGATTCAGTTACGTAGCAGGGTTCTCAGAGAACACCAGGTCAGGCGCGCTCTATGTTTGGTGTCTGGTTTCAAAGAGAGGCAAGTTGTGGGTGAGAGGGGACAAGGAGAGGTAGTCTGGGAAGCACAGGAAGCAGCTACTTTGCTCACTACCTGAGTAAAGCCACTTCAAGGACACAGAACATACAAGCTTCAGTAAAGAAGAATTTCACTGCCTCTGTCCTGTAGACCAAAGTCTCTGCTTTCCTTTGGTGTGTAGGTCTCTGTCTGGCCTGAAAAGGGTAAAGTATGCTCCTGCTCTTCATAGAATTTTTATTTTAAACAGTGGGAGATGAACTTTAGGTTTATCCATATATTTGTCAAAAAGATAAACACGGAAAAATGACATTTTTGGGTGTGCTGCTTGCTTTCTTTGTAAAAGGAATCTATTTAAGATGACAGTAGATAATCTAAAAAAAAAAATTATAATTTGAATATATATTTTACAATTTGCATAATATCAATTGCTTTTGCAACTTACTTTGATAAAATGAACTTGATTTTTGCAGAGTATATAGATTTTCCCATCCATAGCTGCTTGTGCTCTGTTTATATTTCCATTCCTATCTGAGTCCCTCTGCACATGCTCTCTTGATGTACCACTATATTGGGCCATTGAACTTTGTCCCAGTTGGTGACTGTTCAGTCATGTGACATGGAAAAAGCCATTCCAGGTCTGCCACTCAAAACATAATGTGCAAGGATGTTGGTAGTCCAAACATTTCTATTAAGGTTTTATGAAGGACCTTGCATTTTTATTTGAATGAGTCATTTTAACTTTATTGTGTACAAGTTTATTCTATAAATACAGATGTCTGAACTGCAGCACCTTCAAGTTTTAAAACTACACAGAAAGTATTAAGCAACTTTTATTCGAAGTATCATTCACAAAAAGCTATTTAACAGACAAAACATGAGGATAAATTACTTTTTTGTTTACTGATAACCAATAAAATGCCAACTGAGCATAAAAAACAAACATAACTTGTTGCTAAAGTGGAAAATGTGAAACCTTGAAATGCAAAATCTCCATAATAGGTGCTAAATACCTTTCTGTGTGCACCCCCCTTTGCAATTACGGTATTAGCATCATTGTTAAGAATATAGTTTAAAAACCGGAAGCAAGCTGTTAGATCGAAAATAGAAAATAAAGTAACGTTTACAATAATAAAGTGTGGAAAATTATCCAAACCTTTAGAATTATAAAAGCCCTAAAAAGGTAAGACATGCTTTGAAGGGCTGACCAAATTCTATTTTTGTGATATATAGCTTGCATATATGTATATAAATATAGATGTTGTATATTCATGTGCAAAATAGAATTAGAGTGGTGATCAAGGAGATTTGTAGGGAAACTGATGATTCCTGCCATGACTGATGTTTTGTGGGACCAAAACTGAATATTAAATGGCCATAAAGTTTCTGCAATATGATGCTTATAAGTTGTCAAATTAAATCAAAAAGTGGTATAATAAATCAAGATTAATACTTTTATTCTGAGATTGATCAAACATGTCTTTTGAATATGGCAAGCAGAAGTTACTATACACACAATTCCCATTTCATGTGTTTTAACATCCAGAAAATTTCAAAATTTAGATTTTTTTTAATTAGTTTTTGTTTTTCCGATTCCCTTCAGCACTCAATGAATTCCCTTTTCTCTTGTGTATAAATATAATATTATAGATAAGACTTTTCTTTAAGCCATTGTTTATAGAAAAGACAAAAATGTTTTGTTTTTGTCCCTATTTATTCCCTTATTTAATCAATGAAGCCATTAAAATAAAGGATATACTTGCCTACATCTACAGTCAGAGCAGTGACTTAAAATAAAAATAAAAAAAATTTGCAAAGAGTTAAAAAATTAATTCCATGGTTCTCCATTAGCTTAGCTTACTTATTCCCTAAAACAACAAATTTCTTTTAAATTTGTCTTTGTTTAAACAGTTGCCAAGGTAATTATAAATATGCATCATGCATTATTTAAGTTTTTAAATGTAATATGCAATTGAAAAAAATCAGAGAATAAATAACTAAATCCTGAAGTTGTTTTTTGTTTTTTTTTGTTGCTACAGTACCAGTGTCAGTAATATAGGAAAATGGCTGAGGCTCATCAGGCAGTGGGCTTTCAGTTCACAGTGCGCCCAGATGGTGTGGACCTGAAGCTGAGTCAGGAAGTTTTAAAAAACATCTACCTGTCAGGAGTGACTGCCTGGAAGAAGAAAGCCATTCAATTCAAGGTAAAATTCAATCTGCATATTATTTATGTTTAATAAATTTTTCTATCAGTGTATAAGAATATAGGTGAGTCAAAGTGTTTAAAATCACAGACCTCCTCTTTTCCATCAGAGTAGATAATAAATCAAATAACTACTTATATTTGTATCTCATACAGAATGGAATACTGACTGGAGTTTACCCTGCCAGTCCTTCCAGTTGGCTGATAGTTGTGATTGCTATGATGAGCTCCTTATACACTCACATAGACCCCTCTCTGGGAATGATAGACGCCATAAAGGAGAATCTTCCATACAAGTCAGTAGCCTTCACAAACTAAAACATTCATGGCATGCATAGCTGTGTTAAAATATTAAAAATTGTGTTTAAGGGTATGTACTGTACATTGCTGTGTCAGTGGCTCTAAGATTCTGCATCTACTCACAGAGGCTTCATTTGTTTTTTTTCTGAACAGAGTCTACATGCAAGTGCAGACCAGAGCAGTTGTGAGTGCCATCCTGTTTGCCACAGGAGTCTGGCTGTTTTTCATCTATCTCATGAGATTCACTCTGAAGACTCTTCTTTCCTACCATGGATGGATTTTTGAATCCCATGGAAAAATGAGCACATGTACAAAACTGTGGCTGGTATATTTTCCTCATTGAAATTTACAATCTTAATCATTTTACTGCATGCATGAATGATTGCACTCTGCATTAAACTAAGATTTAAGGAACCTGCTAAGAAGCATTATACATTGTATGTTGTACATATGATAAATTAGTTATCATTAATTCACGATTGGTATCATTTTGATTTCATCCAGAGCCTGGTAAAGATGATTTCTGGACGAAGGCCCCTGCTCTACAGTTTCCAGGCTGCCTTACCCAGACTCCCTGTCCCCAGAGTGGATGATACCATTCAGAGGGTTTGTTCAATAAGCACAAGCAACATTACTGTTTTAAATCAAAACACCTTTTGGGAGAAGGGACAAGAATACGACAGAAAGAACTAGGATTTTTTTTATTATACATATTTTGTATTTAAACCATACTATCTAAAAGTAACTTGCTTTCAATAACTTTTTAAAATCAAACACAAACCTTAGTGGATTGTATTAGGATTGTATTGTATTTTAAAGGAGACGCCAGGGTCAGCAAGGAATTATCAATAGATCATTATCTATACCTAAAACTGATACATTTGTGGTGATTTTATGAATTTAGAGTTAATCAGTAAAAAAATTAAAAAATTATAATTTTTGTTGCGATCATGGGACCGGCCCTTTTTGCACAAATACAGTAACACTTCACTCCTGACATCTTCCAGCAGCTATGTCACGGTGCGGTAAGCCTAGCTCCATTCTACCCGGTTTACAAGCAAAATCAGTGGGAACTACTAGACACAAATGCAATAAACAGCAAATATTTAAGATTTCGAGAGTTCACCATTGACATTTGCAAGAGCTATAGTTAAACTGACAATACCCATGTGCATGGTAGTTGGATGTTGCACGACATCAGGTTAAAGTGAAAAAAAAATTTTATTTCACCTTTTCCATTCATGATCCACCACGGGTTCGTCATTTGATTGCCGACTTAAAGAGGGAGGATTTACCATTGAACTTCTGGCCAGAGAAAAAACACGTAAGATGTAGCCAAAATTTCAAATAAAAATGTTTTCAAGATGACTTGGATAATAGCGCAATGTGACAAACACCAGATACAGCAGTGGGACTTGATCAACAGACAATACCGCACAGTGACGTCACAGACCTGTAGGTGGCAGTGGTGTTCTTTGACAAACATGGATGCCCCCGGTAAAGCATATTCAAATAAAATGCACTCTTAATTAAAAACACGTATAATTTATTGAACAGTGTGTAATAATTTTATATTTAAAGTACTTTCAGAAGTTTGAATTCTGAGTATGACCAGACTTTTCCTTAAAATGAACACAAGCTAATGGCTGTGAAGTTAAAATATTTTTATTAAAATATTTAGCAAAAATGTACATGTAGTCACTAAACCACCTGCAATCCGACACTCCTAAATAAATCCCTGTAAAGCCAAATGCCATCAGTGGGAACATAATTAGCACACAGACTACAATAGTGTCTGATTCAATTTAAATAAAATTATAGATTTTCTTTAAAGACTTAAAAGCATCCATTCTTAGATTTCATTAGAAAAACCAAGGCACACAATAAGCAGACCGGTCTACTTTTTGCCGAAGCACAACCATAATGTTGTTTTTGTTTGTTATTATTCTAAATTCAGACATCCTGTAGGATCCTACTCTTTGATGATCTCCTCCTTGGCCATGCTGGGGTTGAAATTAGGCCTAGGATCTTTATTAGAAGATGCCTTTAAGCTGATAGGTCAATGGACACGAGTAGAACTATGATTTTAACAAGAGTACTTCCTTTGCTGCATAAAATCCCTTTTTACAACCTTAAAAATAATGGGTGTGTATGTATTTAATGATAGTAGTAAAAGCTTTTTTGATTTTAGAAAAAATCTTATTAAAATGTCTTACCATAAAAAGCAAATGTCAAAGAACAAAAACCAAAGCTATATCCTTAGAGGCAAGACCTAAAATAATTAAACAGCCTGTTTTAAGATGTCAAAAGGCTTAGATTCCGACAACAATTTTATGCTCTAATTCAAGGCAAAGACTAAATTCACACCCATTCCTTCACATTGAACCTGTACCTGGCAATATATTTTGGCAGTTCCCGTTACAATTTTTTTTTTCTTGCTTCTTCTCTTCCTTGTCTTCCACCACTTCCTGCTCCTCATTCTACTGTCCCTTCTTCACCCCATCCTCACATGACATTATTCAGTTCCTGTGCGTGGACGCCATGACCATGACTTACACAGGCCTTGTTAGCTGTTAAAGCAAAAACAGGATCAATGATAAACATTAGAAAATTCCCAGTGTATGGGCACAAATATAGAAATCAACATAAGGAATGTTCTATATATGTAGTGAGGACCATGTTTTAGCTTCCATTAGGACTGAAAGAATTAATAGTGATTAATTGATTATTGAAATAATCGTCAACTAGTTTAGTAATAGATAACTGGAGTGTAAAGACTCTAAAAAGTGCATTTAGCTGACAGGGCGTCCCACCTTGAACAGCAATTATACCAAAATTGTAAAACAAGGTATATAAAGATCTTTTTCATCTGTTAATATGCTCTATACAGAACTCCTCAAGTGGAAATGTTTTAATTTCAATTGGTTTAATTTCTCTAGAAAGTGTTTTTTAGGAACCTTTTGCTATCTGATTATTAATCGATTAATTGAAAAAAAAAATAATTGACAGATTCATCAATTTGCAGAATAATCATTACTTGCAGCCCTAGCTTCATGTCATTTTCAATCTTTCCTATGCTCTAACCCTGACATTAAACCTAAGCATTACCATTGCAAACCTGATACTTACTTTAGTCTTCACCTAATTCAGACCTTAGTCCTAAAGCTCATTGTAAAACAAAAAAGGAAGTGAATGACAGCTAAATGTACTCACTTTAGTACAACGGGTCCTCAGTTTTGTGGTAAAATCAGCAAAATTGCAAGATGGGAGCAAGCACACACACAGCAAGTGAACAATGCAACTTATGTGTTTTTTTATTCAGCTGCTATAGCTACATTAATGTAGAAACAGAACTGAAATACAGCCTGTTATTTTATTTTTTCCCCCTCTGAGCACAGACACAGTTGCGTAGTATATCTGTTTTCTGGTCAGCTAAGTTTGGATTTACATTAATTTCAGTTGTTAAAGCGGATTCATCATCAATAAATGCATAGTAATAATGTTGTTTGTACCCTAAACACTTGCATGCAATATGCCACTTTCAGTTAGAATTATAAGGCCATGGCATTATTTGCTGACCTGTTGTAGCCATGCTGCTTGGTCCGGTGTCGTCACAAGTCTTGATGCTTGACCTTGGCCTTTCCAATAAAGGTTGGTTAATGTTGCACACTTGGCTCCATTCTGCACAAACTGTCTCTACTCCATCCATCTCTGTCTTCTTTCTCCACTGTATCTTTGCTAGTTTAAACCGCTCCAGTTTATTTCCTGTGTTTCATATTAATGGAGGTCAGAGGACCTTCTGACCTCATTGATATGAAAAACTTCCGAATGACCCAGTCTGAAGTTGTACTGCACTCCATGCGGACATGAGAATGGCTGTGAGCCCAAGCAGCGATGTGATTTTATGGGGTAGAAAAAAAAAAAATTTTTGACCACCAACCGGTTTGACCTGACACAGACCGGATGTTCAGGAATCGTCCCTATCTTCCCATGCTCACTTCATGCTCCCTGTTTATCCTTAATTGCCTCAGAGGCAGATCTAGGATAGCCTAACCAGTCACTGGCCACCCCTACAATACTGGTTTAATTACTTTGGAAAGCAAAACAATAGTATAAAAATAGTATTGCTCCGCCACAGCCTACTTTTGATCCCAGCATTAGTTTAACGGAAACCAAACATGCAAAGGTTTTAAAAAAAAAAAACTCCTTTTTGCTGCTTCAATGTTTATGTCGGCTTCAGTTTGAGTAAGGTGTGAAAATCTGTTGTGCTACTATTGCTAGTTTTTGTGTTAATAGGCTCCATTTTCTCAACTTCAAGCTGTGAATCTTTCCCTCAGTATCTAGAATCAGTTCGCCCTCTGCTGGATAGCAAACAGTACAACCGAATGGAGATTCTGGCAAATGAATTCAAAGAAACTGAGTCAACGCAGCTCCAGAGGTACCTCATCCTGAAATCTTGGTGGGCAACAAACTATGTGAGTGAATTTCACACACTGTATGAAATGAAATCTCAAGTTTAGTGAATTTGCGTAAAGCATTGTATATTTTTAAATATGTTTAAAGGTAAGTGACTGGTGGGAGGAATACATCTACCTGAGGAGCAGAGGTCCCATCATGGTCAACAGCAACTTTTACATCATGGTAAGTTACAACAAGGCTATGTCTGCTCTTTAATATTGACCATAAGTTATATATACATACAGAAGCAAACTGGAGAGTGATGAAGTCTGAAAAGAGCCACTATTTTTGACATCTGGTCTTCAAGTAATGGTTTGATGTGTTTGTTTGAAGGACCTCTTGTATATGACCCCAACACACCGGCAGGCTGCTCGGGCAGGAAATGTGGTTCATGCCATGCTGCAGTACAGGCGTAAGCTGGAGCGCGGGGAACATGCACCGGTAAACTGCTTGTTTTATAAACCTTTCCTTGTTTTCAAACAAACAAACCAATGGCAAAAAATGTGGAATCACAGCTCCAAGATACTCTGAAAGTTTAAAGAAAACACAGTGTTGGAAGTATTGTTTGATTTCTTTTTTATATATATATAAATAAGAGTTTATTTGAGTAGAGAGTCAAAATAAAATTGACAAGAATTAAAAGACTTTTATAATGCTGCACTTCCTCTAGCATTTCTGACATCCTTATCCTTTTACCCAATAAAATCTTGTTTTCTTTTGCTATTGCTCTTACAGTTGGCTCCTCTGCATTTCTGCAAAACTAATTTTTAACCCAGTTTTCTTTTATTTTTCTGCATTTTATGTTTGCATTGTAAACTCTTTTATAACTCTCTTATAATTTGATGTCCTCCATGGTCAGCTTGGATCTCCTCCTGTCAAAGCTTTTAACATTTTTGTTTCTTTCTCCAATTTTTACACACAGCTAACTGGGAATGGTAACCTTCTTTTACCACATGCCACATTTATTTACCTTGAGGTCCAAAAGCTTTATAGTATACTTGCAAGCTGTTTTGCATGAATAGACAAGTGCAAGCATTTGTATTAAAAATGCAAATAATGGTGTAATTTTATCCTCAAATAGAACTCAGAAAAAAGTTCCATTCATTCAAATCTGGTCATGATTTAAGTAATTGTAGGTAGAACTTGCCAAACAGCCTCACAGAGTATGGATTCCCTATTTATTTGTGAAGGTTTCAATTGATTCTTAAGCCCAGATTGATGATGATTATTTCTCCATCATTTTTCTTCTCAGCTGAGGGCTTTAGGGACGGTTCCAATGTGCTCCACCCAGATGGAGAGAATGTTTAACACCACTCGTATCCCTGGTATAGAAACAGGTAAGGATATTAGCAGGCTTGTTGATCCATCTCTGCTGAAAGAAACATGAATCGAATTAATAAATTGTTGACTTGGAGACACAGAGGAAATAATTCAGCCTTTTGATTCAGGTGTGTTGGAACAGGAATGCGTCAAAAAGGTGGCAGGTGCATGACACTTGAAGGCTAGAGCTTTAGAGCCCTGCTATATGCAATCAGGCTTTTCCAAGTAATAACAAAATTTAGATTTATGAATTAAATCTTCCGAGATTGCTGTGCTTTTGAGTAAATTTCTTTAAGTATTGTAATTTCCCCTGACTCCAGCAACTGCTGCTCATATTGTCACCTTCTTTTCTGCTGTCGTCTTTCTCTCTTAGTCCTAGACATTGTTAACATGGAAGAAATTTACTCTGAAGCAAATAATATAAAACTATAAACAATTAAGAGAATAGGAAAAGAAAAAGCAAATGTATGATGTCTTAAATTGTCTGTAATTAAATGCTCTTTTGAAACTGGCTGGTTTTAGCTCCAATGGGGGGAGCAATGTGAAATCTTAAAAAAAAAAGTTAGAAGAGTAAATAGCATGTTGGTCACCTGACTGCTGTTTTCTTCCTGAATGTCAGTCCACTCTGCTTTAGGATCCAGCAGCCTAAATCGCTTGCAAAACACATTTACCTCAAAGCATATAATGAATGGAGTTATATTCAAGCAAATACTATCCTATCTAAAGATTTTGTACTCCAGATTCTCCAGCTGGCCAGAAATCTACAAGTATAGAAGAGTCCTGCAGGGTATGGATACTTTTAAAATTAATCTGCCTTAATGCATTTGTTTTATTTGAAAAAAACAAACAAAAAACGCTGAAACAGGATAAAAAATTCTATTTCCAAAAGTGCAGCTCTGTTCAGGCATAAGAACATTGTAAAAGCTTAGTCCTTTTACTATCTTAATTACTGTCATGTTCGGGTGTCAGGATCAAAGTGCAGACAGACACTTGGATGCATCATCATTAGATAATTTAATAAGAAGTTATGGTAACAAGGCAATAGGTGTGAAGACATAAGTAGAACTGAGGAGCTGAATGCTTACAACAAACTGGCAGCTTAGGGATTGAGGAAATCGGGTGCAAAGAATGAGAGGAGAAAGAGGAGGAGACACAGGTGAAGGGAATCTACTTATTAACAGAAAGCCCTGCCTGAGGGAACAAAAAAGATTAAAGAGGGCAAACAGTGAAAAAAAGCTAGACATAAACTAAAAGATGCAATCCAAAAAGACAAAAATAATTAAAATAAATTAGAGACATTAAGAACACTGAAAACATTAAGAAATCTGCAAGAGAAAGACTAGAAAAGACTTGGAAAAAGGTAAACACAGAGAGCTGATACAGCATACCACCAAACATCCAACAATATTGGAATACAGCATATTGTGATTAACCAAAACAAAACCCAAACTTGCATATCCTGACAATAGGGTGTAAAATGTCCAAAATATTTTCATAATATACAGGAACCTATTATTTAACTAGACATTATTACATCATTTTCCGTTTCCCTTGGTAACGACTTGTGTGCAGATATTGTGCAGCACCTGACAGACCGAAAGCACCTAATCGTCTACCACAAAGGGCGCTTCTTCCAAGTGTGGTTGTATATCGGGGGGCGCCACCTCTTACCCAGTGAGCTGGAGACCCAGTTTCAAAGGATTCTCAATGATCCATCAGAACCACAGCCAGGAGAACTGAAACTTGCAGCTCTTACTGCAGGAGCCCGGTATGTCTAAACACACAGGATGCAGAACCACTCGCCTGCTTTAGGTAAACTTATTCTTACTCTCTTTTCCAGGGTTCCTTGGGCACGGGCTCGGTTGAAATACTTTGGCCATGGAATAAACAAAATTTCCCTGGATGCTATTGAATCTGCTGCATTCTTCCTGACACTTGATGAGGAACCACAGGGTTATGACCCAGCAAAGGTTAACTCACTTGATATTTACGCCAAGTCCCTGCTGCATGGTAAATGTTATGACAGGTGGGTAGTAGATTAAGACAGGGGAAGACCCCTGGCCTGCTCAGGGCTTCAGTAGAAGCTAACATTTTATTGCTATCTGAAAAAAATAGAAAAATGTGATCATGTCTTCCAGGTGGTTCGACAAGTCTTTCAACTTAATCTCATACCCAAATGGAAAGATAGGAGTCAATATTGAGCACTCTTGGGCAGATGCCCCCATTGTTGGACACATGTGGGAGGTATAAGGAGCAATTTAGTCCTGAAAATCAAGAAGGTTCTTGTTTCTAGTTGCCCCTTAGCTGTAACTGGCTTTTGTTTTGTAGTATGTTCTTGCAACAGACTGCTTTCACCTGGGCTACACAGAGGAGGGCCACTGCAAAGGGGACATGAACAGGGGCCTTCCATGTCCGACTCGATTACAGTTTCAGATTTCAGACGAGGTATTTTAAAGCTTTACTGATTAGTAAAGTAACCGAGCATTAATTGCTTACTTACTCTCTGTTTTTTTTTCCAACCACAGTGCCAAGACGTTATTGAAACTTCCTACCTATTAGCCAGGCAGCTAGCCGATGACGTGGACTTTAACTGCTATTTGTTCTCTGAGTTTGGAAAAGGCCTGATCAAGAAGTGCAGGACGAGCCCTGATGCCTTCATTCAGCTGGCTCTGCAGCTGGCACAGTTCAGGGTTGGTCAGCAATCAGTCACTGTCTGTCTTTCTAAAGATCTCATCCATCAAATCACATCATGTATGTTGTTGTTTTCTTCATAGGACCAGAGCGTGTTCTGCCTGACATACGAGTCCTCGATGACCCGTATGTTCAGAGACGGTCGGACAGAGACGGTGCGTTCCTGCACCTCTGAGGCAGTTGCTTTTGTCCGGGCCATGGAAGATCCATGTGCAACAGTAAGCAAAACAAACCCACATGCAGTGAAAAGTCACTCTGCTAAAACATGAAAATGCATGTCAAGAATTACATTTATTACAGATATTTCATTTGAAACCATAAAATTTGTAAATTGTATTGAAGCAAATGAACAGAAATAAATATCTGTAGTGACGTAGATATATATAAATATGAGTATTTGATTTTTTTTTTTTTTTCATTAAATTGTCAAAACAAATAAAAAGTTCAATGATTTTTCTAAATACCCAGATTCACATTTCCTTTTATATTTACAGAATAAACAGTTTGGACACAAATTACATTAAATCCATCAAGTCACGCTTTGTACACATTTGCTGTTGTGCAAAGTGTGAGCGGTCACACTGTCCTTGTAAGGTCCAGGTCACCCAGACTTAAAAGCAATGTTAATAAGCACCAGAGCCATGTCATGAGGTTTAAGCAACACTTTTTGGCTAAAGGTCATTATTATATAATCGTATTATAATGACATTTATCTTTATTTTAACTGAATTAACTGATTTTCTCTTGCTATCTATGAACAGAATGCTGTCAGACTTGCATTGTTTCGGAAGGCAGCAGAAAAGCATCAGAATATGTACCGTCTGGCCATGACTGGATCTGGCATCGATCGGCACCTCTTCTGCCTTTACATAGTGTCTAAATACCTCGGTGTAGAATCACCATTTCTCAAAAAGGTTAGAGCTGCAATTTAATTTAGCTTCAAATCTTTTTATCCAGCATAACTTATTGGTTCTCCTTTCAATTCAAATGTTTCCAGGTGCTTTCAGAGCCGTGGAAACTGTCGACCAGCCAGACTCCTCAGCAGCAGCTTAATTTAGTTGATATTAACAAGTTCCCTAAATATGTGGGTGCAGGAGGTGGATTTGGCCCAGTGAGTACTTTGGATTTGAACGGGTCAATAGTTCACCTTCAAAACTATGTAGTTTATGTTATAATTACTTTTCTTTTCCACTCCCAGGTGGCCGATGATGGCTATGGTGTGTCTTATATCATTGTTGGCGAAAATCTCATCACATTCCATATCTCCAGCAAGTTCTCATGTCCTGACTCAGTAAGGATTGTTTTCATCCCCTGGAGACCCTTCATTGTGTCTCTCCAAGTTTAATCGTCTTTCTCTCTATGTGCTCCTTCTCTATGTCAAACTCCAGGATTCCAGTCGGTTTGGTCAGCACATTCGGAAAGCCATGATTGACATCCAGGCACTTTTCAAGCCGGAAAATAATAATAGGACGGTGGAGAATGGGAAGTACGTGCATCTGGAAAATGGGAAAAAACACATGTAGGACTCTGTGGGGAGGAGTTTTGTTGGTGTGCTTCCATTAAAGCAAAGTTCGGCTGATTTAACTGCACCTTCATTTCTACTTTTCTGGTCAGCTTGATCACAGGAGCTGAGCATTCCACTCAGACAAAGAGATTGGTTAGCACTCCTCTAAAGGATTTCTGTTTCTACTGTCTATTTTACATGCTCGAGCTGCTGCTTATTCTAATTTAATTTATATTTTTGTTTTGTTTTGTCTCTTACCAGTGTCAGAAAGAGACCCTGAATCTAATCCAGCCTGATTTAAAAGACAAAAGATTTTTTTTGTGGTGTGTTATTGATGCTTGTAAAACGTATATATTTTCTGTATAAACCTGCACTGTGTAAAATACTTTGTAAAATGACAGCTTTTGAGCATTTGCTTTTAAAATATGCAATAATGTTATTTTCATGTCAATAAATGACGAAATACCCCTTTAAATGCAGGATGTTTATGTCTTTAGTTTTAGGAACCAGAAACTAAAAAAATAAAAAAATCAAAGCTTTTACCGGTATATCAGCTGTAAAACATAAAAAACAAAACATATATATTATTTTCATAGTTACTACAAGGACAAATGTCTACTGAAGAATCATAAACCAGAACATATTACTTTAAACTTTCCTTTGTCTTTTCTATTTTCTTAGACTGCCTACATTGTTTTATGATGTGGGTCTCACTAATAAAAAATAATTGTTGCCTTTTCATACAGTTTATTGTTCTTTTCACAATGAATGTTTTATTTTTTTCTGATTTCTGACTTAATATGCTATTTTTATTAACTACATATTAAGTTAGAAATGAGAAAAAAAATATAAAAAAAGGAAAAAAAACGGATTTAATTTTAATTTTTTTATTTTATCATCAATAAACCTATTGTTAATTTATAAAGCTGGAGTAAACAACATTTTGAAATTGCCCAGAAAAGAGCGCTTTATCACAGCTGATAGGATTTAATTAACATTCTGTATGAATCAGTGTTTAATGACTCTCCAGTCTGAAAATACAGACTTCTTCTGTACGTCGAATCTGATTGATTTATCAGTTTTGTTTTTAGTTTGGCAAAATCCTCCCACGTCCTGCAGCATATTTTAGAACATCATGTGAACTCACTTTATCCTTTAGCTAAATGATACAACACAAAATTTCAAATATTTTGAGACAATTCCTATCCCTTTGCTAAATTATATGTTCATACAAGAATCCCACCTTATGTTTAATAGCGATTGCAGTATAATGTTAACACAAACACACATTTTAGGCATGAGATCAACATATGTAATGGTGAATGTAGGAAGTGTGGCTTATGAGGACATATCTTAACAACAGGATATTTGAAGAACTGATGATCTGGCATTGAATCAGTTTGTGATCTACGAATTTAAACACAACATGTATACAGTGAGTCACATTGAGCAGGAATTTAGTGTTTGTTTCTGTTTATTTTTATAGTTGTGTTACAGGCAGCAAATGAAAACCCTAAATTCCTGGTGCTGATGTTGGTTCACCATCCCTTATCAAGGTTAAAGCCATCAGAGCCACCATTTTGAACATTTTAGAGCACTTCAGGATTGCATACATCCATTTTTAATGGGCGAGAGGCAGGAAACACCCTGGACAGGTCTGTCACAGGGCAACACAAAGACACACAACTATGCAAACTCCATGCAGAAAGAGCCCGGGCCAAGAATCCAATGCAGAACCTTCATGCTGAAAGGCAACAGCGCTACCTACTGCATCTGCGTGCAGTGCCACTTCATGATTCCATCTCCAGAAAAGCTTTGAGGAGATGCTATAATTTGCATCTGACCAAAAGTAGCCAAACCTTGTTTGTTGTACACTTTGGGCAGATTTAACTGTTTTTAAATATGCTATAGGAAAAACATTGACAAACTTGCTCATTTTTATTGGGAAGATGAGAAACCACAGATCATAAGATGCAGCTGAGATGCAGACCATTTTTAAAGAATAATATCTGGACAGAGCCACAGGCTGATAGTCTAATTAACACGATGCACTGATGTAATTTATGCTAAATGAGTCCACATATTTACAGTTGTCTAACTACGTTTCAGTCGGTTTATATTTTTGTATTAAAAGGTCTTTTTATATCCATTTTATATAATTATAATTTTCTAAGTAACAAAGTCTGGGTTTTCATTATCTTAAGTGTTGGTGTATTAACTGAAATAAATGCAATTTTCAATGAGATTCTAATATGAGGTGAATCTGCATGTTGAGGTAACAAATTATGCTTTTCCAAATTTACAATAGTCTCTCCGCTGCCGGTGACTATATCCCTGTAAAAATAGCAAATCCAAAATATTTTAACGCATTTACTTTGAGCTGAAACTTTAAGATTAAAAACACAGAAGAGCAAAGTTTTATAAAACGTTTATTGTAAGAGATGGAACAGAGATTACATTGGGTTTCTAGCATTGTCTGATGTCATCCACATTATTTCCATCTATTAGATGAAAATGGAGATCTTTAACCAGATGGAAGCTTCATTGTCAGTTTGCTTTTAACACTTATCTGGCATCAATGTACCATGCTGCAGATACCAAGAAAATAAACCGTTAGAGTTCACTTAGTGGATGATTCAAGGCTTGTGTAAAGGGGAAAAAAAAAGAAAAGAAAACATAATATTCCTGTTAATGTGATGCTACCTTGCAAATGAGGAATTTCTTTTCAGTGTCTTAAAAAAATAATCTATAACATATGGAGAAAGCACAACGGTGCAGCTACAACTCAGCTTGATTTATTTTAATTGCATGAGTGGAGCTTCAGACTAGCAGAAAAGGACAATCTTCTTTTTGATTATTTATTAGCATATGGGGGTACAATACAAAAGACAAATGGAGAAAAAAAAACAAGTTGTTCTGATGAAGCTCTGTCTTTTCAGCTTCAGCAATGAACTAAAACTAAGCTTTTTTTAACTGTACAAAGCGAATAAACAACAAAAACACCAACAGTGTGCTTGTTTGATGAGAGCAGTTTAAGAGAAAACAGGCAATAGGACTCCATAAATGAAGGATTCAAAAAGAATCCGATTATTGTCTTCATCACTCTCCTATCAGATTCTCCCAACCAATCAAGCACGGTTAACGTTACTGACAAACATAAATGGATTATGAGTATGCTCTAGTTCCTGCCAATTTCTTTTCATGGGGAAGCTGCAGCTTGAGTCCACTGGGTGGCGCCATACGCTGGAGAGGCCACAATGAAGGGCAGTTTCCACCTTGATGCATGCCAACCCAGTCTTTGTTGTTTTTTTTTTACTATCTTGTGTGAATTTGTCAGCACTCTACAATGGTTTTGTAGTTTATAAGTCTAAAAAAACTCTCAACAGAGGTTTTGGGGGTTCAGGTCTATGAGGCAACGAATCAAGGATTAGGAAGTTTTGCCAGGTGCCGGGTTGACATTCTGTGTGGCTGCTGGTGGCGCCACCTCGATGATTCGCGGCTTGTCGATAATGCGAGCCGTGCGATTTCCTTTCTCTACGATCCCGATGATCCAAGCTTGGTGGCCCTCGCCGTACTTCGGAGATTTGATCTCGGCACAGAAGCGGGCAGCCTGCTCCCGGGGCAAACAGATCAGCAGACCTCCTTTGAATGGGAAGACAGAAAACAGTCAGAATATTGACTGAGATGGATTATTTTTGATTGATTATCTCTGACCACCATTCTGATCAGCAAGACACTAAATAGTAGCCTGACGTAGTCCTACTCAATTCTAGTCAGAATATGAGTCTGATACTGCTCCATAGAGCTGTGATTATGGGGCGTCATTCGAACGAACCAGGAAAAAAAATGCCTCTGCACTCAATTGGATAGACCTACAACCAATAAGGGCAACGGAGTGCGTGACGTATGTTAAGCAACGCACAGTTGTTGTCAACAAAAATCAAAGCGTGCAGTTGCACGCCTATAATAAGAAGATGAGCCTTGATTGCATTTCTCTGTTCCTCTTTTAAAATTAATTTGCTGTCGATATCTTCTAGAACAGACCTAATAGCAGAATCTACTCACCTCAACTCTCCAGTGGCAGCCATTGTTGTTGTCACCCAAGCGCGCTTTGGTGACGTGGTTGATTACGTTACTGTCCATCATCGTATAAAGCCCGCCCTGACAATTTGATTGGCCCGCCAGATATTGTGCGAGCATACTCGCGCTACTATTAAGCAATGCCAGACCGAACTTCCCGACCTCAAACGTTGTTGGCAGGACTAAGTTCGGAATGGCACCCAGGCTAACTAAATAGTATTTTATGTTGAAAAAGGAATGCATACAAAAACGTTTTTCAGCAGGACTGAAGTGTGATTTGGTGAGTTATTAAAAAAATGAAATAAAAAAAATTAAAAAAAACAGGCACGGTTACAAAGCAAAGCTTCACTTCATGAGTCTGTGTAGCATCTCTTACACCACATCATATAGAGAACGTTTATATGTCTATAATAAAAATATAATGGGAACTACGTTTAAAGAACAAAAAAAACTTGGCAATAAATGCCCTGAAACAGTGTTACAGCAGCTGTAGTAATTTAGTTTATGTTGTCACCACTAGAGGTAGCTGTGGCACTTTTGATGCCATAAAGAAAGTTAATATTAATGCTTCTATTTTTAAATGTTATTTTCTATTTTATTTTACAGTTTTATCAGCTATGACAGTAAAAAAATAATAAGATTCATTTTTAGAGTAAACAATGACTGTGAACATTGAAAATTAAGTTTAAGAATTCGGTGACGTCACTTTGACTCACTGCAGGCCTTGATGCTCAGTTCCGATTTTTTTGTGAAATTCGATTTTTTTTTTTACGTTGCCATTCATATTTCCAAATATATGCAACCTGTATGTGATCTCTTGTGTGAACTGCAGCCATACAACGCAAGTGTCCCGCATGTGCAGTAGAGGACGCAATGACGTCACAGGCCAGCGTCCTCTTTTTTTCCGGAAGTAAACATGGATGGTAGTGCTGGTGCACATCTAGCGGTCTTTTTTAACCATAAAAACACAATCTTTTCAATATAGTTAAACATAAATACTGCTCCCCGCATCATCGTCTGCCATGGTTGTCGTTTTTCTGGTGGTTAATAATTTATGATTGTATATTGTATATTCATTATAAGTTGCAGTAAGTAAGCTAATATTGTGTTTATCCTCTATGTTCATAGGGTCTATGAACCCTACATTTGGTGTAAGCCAAAAGACCACAGTAAACATCAGTTAAAGGATATTCATCCTAGTTTCTTACAGCACAGAGAGAGAACTTTTTTGCTGATTTCAGAATATAAACAGCCTAAAGTTTGATCAAAATACAGCGGTTTCTAAATTGCTGTGATCTCCAAATCCATAACCGCCAACAGCTAGTGCTACTTTTAGTAGAGTGAAAAACCTTTGATTGAAAACAAACGTAATGAATGGAAATACTCAGAGCCAATGTCAGAACCACTTCCACGCACACACCTGATGTTTCGGGGCAGGTGCCATGCATAAGTCCAAACATGTTCCCGCAGGCCTTGGACACGGCGGCCATCTTGGCGAGCACGGGGAGGTTGTGGATGACGAATGAAACCTCACTCCGCTGCTGTCGTGCCAGTGTCTGGGCGTGGCCGAGGATGCCGAACCCGGTGATGTCGGTGGCTGCGTGTGCGTTGAAAGTGTGCATGAGGCCAGCAGCTACAGAGGACGACAGAGAGGAATCTTAGACAGGCTTCTGGATGAATTTTTCTTTAATTCACAATCATTTCTACTCAGTGTCTAAAAGGTCTGCTATGTCTTCAACATGCAGTGGAAATCGACAGAGTCCTGATTATGAATTGAGTATTTATTTCAGCTGTGCTAAACCTGAGATCCATCAAAAAGCTGCAGTATAGTGATGTTTTAATTTGCCTACAGAGGTGCAGTACATATCAGCTCCAGCAGAGGGTGCTGTTTCATTAATACTTGTTTTCGACAATAAATGCATTGGATTGTAAATGAAGGGTTGTTAGTAATAAACCCACCTAATGAGATGTATCATGCATAAATAATGGCTTTACCTGTACGGTTTAGCCGGGCCATGTTGAGCATAGCTTCATGGTAGGCCAGCTCCACGTCTTCCTGGGTTACCACCAGCTTGATCTTGTTCCACTTCTCTGGCTGAAGGTTTGAAAGCGAGCAAAAACAACCAAATTCAGTGTGTCGTGAAATAATGCATTGTAGTGATTAAATCAGAAAGACTTACGATATCAAGCCACTGGTGCACTGCGACGGCTACTTGCGTCCCTAACGGTTTGGTCAGCACCAACACGTCTCCCGGCACTGCGTTATCTGGCCTACGACACATCAGACACAACATTGTCATCCAAAACGTTTTGTTTTTTCCCAACAGAGAAAGAAAAGTCAACAATATATAACCCTTCATGAAACATAAAAAGATAATTAGATAAAGCCACAAATTTGCTTCCTTTATCTCTGTTTTCTGTGCTTTAAAGAAATCTAACGGTTATTATAAAACAGATTTATTGTTTGTATTTGTTTAAGAAGACATGATAAATTTAACTGAAAAAAATGCATTATATTACAATATTAAGATTTTAAAAATGGCAATTGTTCAGTCCTGGCAACAATTATTGATTTGTGGTCAAGCCGTCTATAATTTTCCTTACTTTAGTAATTGTGATGCCACTGACTGCAGATCAGTCAATGTTATATTTTGTATCTTATTTTATTTATTTACATATAGAAAGTCCTGTTAAAATCTGGCAGATTTTAAAGAATGCAGTCCACATATTTATATATCATGCTTCATGAAACATAAAAAGATGTTAATGAGGTAAAGAAAAAAATTAGGTCCTCTATCGTTTATCAGTGCTTAAATAATATGATTATTATGAAACTGATTGTTAGTATTTGTTTAAGAAGACATGATAAAAGTAAACAATTTAAAAAAATGCACTAAATCACAATATTAAGATAAAAAATCGTTCAGCCCTAACAAGAATGAACTTTATTCCTACATGATGAACTCGTTGGGTTGACAGACTGTTGTAGCGACTCCTCCCATCACCACCCAGGGGTTGACCACCGTTTGTCCCCCTGTCACAGATGTTCCGGCCTCCTCTGAAGCATCCTTGAATCCCTGAATGATCAGCGGCATCACTTTGTCTCTTTCCTGTAAACATGCATATTTGAACAAGTAGAAAACAACTCTTTAGTTCAACGCATGCAGAGGCAAATCTCAAAGTGGTCACAGATGTTCTTTCCATCATATAGACAGAAACAATCTCCTTGCCCCCAGATTAAAACATAACTTACCTTTTCTGACATCTTGTTGCTGACTCCCAGAAGCATCAACATGTTGTCACACTCCGTCACTCCCATGGCGTACAGGTCACTTAGAACATTGGCACAAGCAATTCGTCCCTAGAAAGCAAAAATGCTGTGAATCAGCCAATGAAGCCGCTTTTGTGGCACAGAGGCCAACACTTCTGTGGCAACAATCTGTACTGAAGGATCATATATAAAATGATATGTTTATTTTCTTCATTGCTATAAATCTGAAACGTGGGGTGTACCTTGTAGAGATACACACCTCAGCCAGCAGGTGTTTTTGGCCAATACTTTCCTTTCTTTATATTGTCATCAGCTGATACAAGTGCATTGAGCAGCCATGCACAGACATCATGTGAAGCACATGCATTGTTGCTCACTCCACACGGTATCCATTGTTAATATTTTGTTTTATTTTTTTTATGTTTATTATGCATTTTCGTGTTTTGATTAAACTGAGGCCTGTTTTAAATTTGCTATCATGTAAATGGAGGAAGAAAAAGCAATATCAGCTCCAAGAATCGGCAGAGCAGGCCACAGATGACGTCATACACACTCCGCTTTATTTTAAAAAGATATAAATATAAAAATATAACCGCAGATGTCTGGGGGACAGTGATTCGCCTACATGTAATGAATGCTGGCGTACCATAAATGATAAATTATGAACAGTTTAGTTTGTGCCTTCAAGTCGTTGCCCATAGGAAGACTTTACTTGGATATAGCCTAATGGAATATCTTCAGAACAGCTCCAAATGACACAAAACTCATGCGGGTGAGTAGAACATGATGTAATAGCGTAAAATCAATGGCCCAATGTAAAAAAAAAACTAAAAAAAGGCGTTCCCCTTTAACAAACCTGTATCAGTCGATCATATGGTTTTCCTTTTTTGATCTAATTACCAAATTAAAAAGTTGTCGAATTTAAAATGAATTTTAAATTCAGAATTCTGCCAAAAGTGAACATGCATAACAAATACCTGTACAAGATTTTTATTTGAAGCACCTTGAACCCCAGTCGGCTTCGGCAGATGGCCGCTCACACTGAGCCTGGTTCTGCTGGAGGTTTCCTCTTGTTAAAAGGGAGTTTTTTCTCTCCACTGTCGCTACGAGCATGCTTAGTGTGAGGGATTGCATTCGAGTCAATAAATCAATGCAATCAACTGATTTTTCTTAGATTGAAAACTGAATCAATTCAACTGTAACATCTGGTCAAATTGTCTCTGTAAAGTGCCTTAAGATGACGTGTTGTGAATTGGCGCTATATAAATAAACTGAATTGAATTTTGTCACAGCCATGGTGCATGCTCCTTCTCTGCTCTAAAGGCTTGATTTTTACACACCTATAGCTTTTCTTCTCATTGCCTATGAATCTGTTTCGCTGTGCTCATGTCAACTTTTGTCACTCTGAGGGTAACATCATGAGCGGCCCCTCACCCCCCCACCATGGACTGTTCTCCCTGCTGCCCTCTGGGAAGAGGCTTCACAGCATTCGATGCAGGACCAGCAGGTTCTGCAAAAGCTTTTTCCCCACTGCCATCTGACTGTTGAACTCTAAACTGAACTCTGCATCACACTCGCAATATTATTTTGTTCTACCAACATGGCTGAATTTAAATAGGACATAACTCAATGTTATACTACATTCTGCACAATATCTATTTTGCACTGCACTGAACATTTCCATATAAATGCCCCTTTGCAGCGTAATTTTTTTTAAAACTGGTTTTCCTTTATTCCTATACAGTTTACATGATGATCACAGCTACACTTTAAATGGTAAAGTCCATTTCACTGTTGTAACCTGTAAGCAATGTTATTTCGTTTTTTTATACACTTTATTTATACAAAATGGAAATAAAGTTTGTCTAAGTCTAACATTATTATCCTCAACCAGGGAGAAAACATTACAGGCTCAAGAGGCGGGATTTCCTGAAAAGTAGCCAATCACAGGCAGGTTAACTGTGACATATATTGACATGAGCGCAGAGAAACAGTTCAACAGGCGAGAAGGAGAAAAGCAAACCACAATCGCACAGAAAGAGCAAGCACTCATCTTTGTCATACATTAGTTCAAAATTCACCTGGAGAGCTGTTTATGTGCATGCATGTTAAAAAACTGCTTGTATAAGTATTTATTACACATGTGCCCTTTCAGCAGAATTCTAACTTCATAATGAAGTCATATAAATTTTTCAAAGGTCCATCTTTAAGTGGGTCATTGACCCAAATATAAAGCAAGAGTGATGCTGAAATGAAACCTTGAAATGACAAGACCTGAAAATGTATTTTTTACAGTTTACCTATCCTTAATAAAAAAGGTACTTTAAAGTCTAGATGCAGATAAATAAAAAATAAAAAAGAACTGCAGCTAAAATTGCAGCAAAAATTGTTTTAATAAATGCTGCCCCAAGGAGTCTAAGAATATGAACAATTCACACATTTCAGTTTAAGTACTGAACAAGGTTTAAACTCTTAATTTTTTCCCAAGCTATACAATTAAAGCACAGATCACACAAGTCCATCATAAAAATCCCAAAACAGAAAAACTTAATTGTCTTGAAGTTGCAAAAATCCTCCTGATCAAAGGATTTCTGCCACTGACATGTTTCCTCCAACTCTAGGGAATTTTGTGTCAAATTCCCTAGATTTGTTTTTGCCATAATACCTAAATACTAATGTGAATTTATGGCAGATATTTCTGCAGTAATCAGGAGAACAGACAATAGGACAGAAGAAGTAATATCTGGAACCCTGTGGTTAGCACAACAGAATTTCAATTATAAAGGAGCACTTTTACCATCATGTAGGGGTCGTCAACAATAGGGTAGATGTAATCTGTCGTCTGAACAAGAGAGAGTCCACCATGTCTGAGAGGGATGACACATGTGTCCATGCCTATGCCTTTAAAACAAAGAAAAATCTTAGCAAAGACTGAAAACTAAGAGGTTTAAAATGACACAGTTATAAAATAACACCTAATTATATCCACAGTGAATAGCAGTTTATTGCACATGTAGAATGAGGTTTATTGCAGTTGGTTTAATGTGACCAAGGGTTGACACTTTTGAATAATAAAAGACATCCAAAAACATGGATATAAGCTAATAACTTAGTTCATACGGCTGAAATTGTCTCAATTTCGGACAACCACACTCATTAACTGCTAAAACCAAACTACCTACGGTACTCTAGCTTTTACTGTACAGATTCAGTAATCAGTCAGTTCAGATAGAAATGCTGGTATTAAAGGTTTAAACCGACTGCAGTTAAATCATCTCAATAAGATCAACATTACCTAATCGAGGCATAACTGCCCCCAAGAACTGTTCATCCTCTTGATAGTGGTTCTCCTGTAAGGCTTCGAGCAGCTTCTGTAAAACATCTTGAGGAACCTGAGATCAGCAGAAAAAAAAACAGTGCAGAATAATATGTAACATATTGCAAACCATTTTAAAAAGAAAATCATGCTATACATCAGATTTTGATCAAGACAGCCCACCTTGCAACCTGTCCCCTTCAGCTCAGCGAAGCGTGTGAGCCTAAAGCTTTTCTCCAGCTCATAGCTTTCAGGGTTAAAAGACTCCCTCACAGACATTTCTGATGGAACTCTTGGTCCTCACCACTGAAACATAGATTTAAAAACAAAGGAATAAAAAATGGATGCAAGGAAAAAAGATCTAAATAGGAACCAAAGAGGTTGCAACACAAAGGAGACTTTCAGCATCTTTTGCTAATATAAAAATAAGACAAGAATGAGCAAAAGAGTTGACCACTGCTTTTACATTCAACTATTGGCCATTTCATTAGGTGCATTTTTAAGGAAAGGGGGCAGACTGGTTGGAGAGAATAGAGAGGCAACAAAAGGAATAAAAAACAAAGAAAAATTTTTAGCACTGATGTCATCACACCCTAAAGCAGATGGGCTACAACAGCACACTGCCAGGACTCACTCCTGTGAGTTAGGAACAATAACAGAGGTAAAAACAGGGTCCCTTACACACTAAACACTGTCTAAGCAAAATATCATGGTATACATCTTCTAAAGCTACGGCTGTCAGGATATGGCCTAATGTCATAAAGTTCAAATGACCCAAGATGGTTGCTTTACCAGGACAGTAGGTTCACAATTTACTTTACTCCAGCAGCCTCTAAAACTCAGTACATTAGAGAATCACTGCAATGCTGTTGAATGAGATATTAGCATCATAGACATGCAGCAGACAAATCTGCAGCAACTACTTGATATTATCACGTTTACATGATCCAACATGTTTTAGGCTAATTTGACACCTTTTTGCCAGTTATTGTATATTTCTTTTTCAAAATTGTTTAAGAAATTAAATAACCACATATACTGATAGTTTGGTTGACAGTAGTGCTGAATTTCCAGAGTGATCAGACCGTTTATATATAGTGGCAAATATTTGTAAAATACATCTTATAAATTACACTGATGAATGGAAAAAAATATTCAAAATAATTTTTTATTGCAAAGGTCAGACGTATCCCCATTAACTTTGACAAAAACAAAGGAATATGTTCTTCTCACATTATGATTCATTTGGTCTCCACCAGGGCTAAAACAAATAATCGGATAAATAGTGATTGATCCATTATTCTACTAATTGTCAACTAATTTAGTAATCAATTAATTATTAACTGGACTATAGAGATTCTAAAACGTGCCTTTAGCTGACAGGGCAACCCACTTAGAGGAGTAATTATACATTAATTTTGCATTTAAGATAAGAAAAAATGTTTTTTTTTCTTACAATATTCTCTATCCAGAACCAGTGAAGTGGAAAATTTTTGTTTCACTTGGTTTAATATCGTAAAGTTTTTAAGTATATTTGACTATCCGCTTAATAATTAATTAATCGAAAAATGACAGATTAATCAATTAGCAAAATAACTGTTAGTTGCAGCCCTAGTCTCCACTACTATTAGAATAGAAAATCCCTTTATTGTCCCACAATGGGGAAATTCTGGTGTTTACAGCAGCAAAAAGATCATAGAAAAAAGTTGTCACACAAATGTGGACCTCAGAAAAGTGTATAAGAATAACATAAAAGTGAAGATTTAAGAAATAAACAAAAAAATACTGTAAAGCGTTTTAACAATATTAATATTGTGCACCTGGAGAATAAATAACCAATATACAGCTATGGACATTTTTTTCCCAGTAATGGATATTTGAAAAATAGCAGCAACATCAGAGATGTGCAAAATGACAGCAGCATGTTATTTAACTGACTAAGATAGAAACTGTTCAAAATCAGCATGAATGTAAAAACTTATTGAGGTTGTTGGTAACTGATGGTTATAAAGTCTTACAGCTGATGGGAGGAAGGATCTGTGATAACGCTTCCTGGTGCATAATCTACTTACTATAACTGGCATATTTTACTTGCATTTTGAACCCCTGTGTCTGTCAGTAGGACACATCTTAAAATCAAGATTGTGAATTAGGTTGAAAAGCCAGAAATCCTCACATCAGTGCAAGTGTCCATATTTAATTTGCATCAGATCAAAATAACCCAGAAATAATAACGTTGTTTATGTCCTCCAACGCATCTCCAGTTTGTTTTGCAAACTGGAATCGGGTTGTTGAAGGGGAGCATGAAATGATTCCACGTTCATTCAACCCATGGGGCATTGGCTTGCAAGATCACTGATGTCCCATGTAATAGAAAACACATGTTAGCCTATAGATGAGATCTGTCCTTCAGAAACATGACGTTACACAAAAGGTAAACCTCCATCTGTTGAGATTTTTTTCAACAAAAAAAAAAATGTAGTTTTGCGTTTTCTGCTAGCTGTGGCTAGCCGATCCATGCATGTGATGAGGAGCAGAGGCAGCTCTTATAACAAAGAGCCGCTCCGGAGAGCCGATATGCCGGCTGTAATAGCACCGAAAACAAACGCTGTGCACCCTTCTATCTGAATCTGATTCAATGGGGTGAATCATAGCTCCGGCAGCTTGCACATGCAAGTTAAAAAGTTGCGGCAGGGCGCTTAACAAAAATGTCGGCGGCGGAAAAAATTAACCCTTTCCTCTCCCTCGCCATGCGAGGTTTGCAACATCAGAGTTAGTATCAGCACTAAATGGCTAAACGGGCGGCTAATACGAGGACCGCATTAAGATGATTCAATGAGAGTGTACAGAATAAGAAAAGGAGCAGGTGTGAGAGTTAAACTGGATAAGATTCGTGCAACATTTCCCCTTTAATTGGACTGAGCAGTTTATCCTTACCAGCTTCAGGTTAGCGGTGGATCCCTACACAAGAGCGGGGACTGCAATAGAACGCATCAGGGCTACAAAAGGGCGACCTCTGAGAAAGCCTGAATAAAAATCACAAATTATTAAATTTAACTATTGTGTAGATGATATAAAAATTAAAAACGTTTGAGAAAAATAGTAAAAGAATTACAGTTATGTAAAAGCTATTTTTTGCTAACACTTTCGGGTGCAATCTTGCCCATAATTGAACGAGGAAACTAACTCGATAACAAAGGGTCCTCTGTTTGCATGGCCGCTTCTTTAACATCCCCTTTAAAGATTCCAAAAGTCTGCCAACAAAATTGTTACAATGGAGTATACCTTTAATTGGTGTTTTCCCTCCTTTTGCCACAAAAAATACGTTTCCCATATAAATGTAAAATGTACTCTGCAGAAGAATAGTTTAAAATTTTTTCCGTAATATATAAAGAATAGGCTCTATTTTGTTTGAAAATACAGTGACATACAAAAGCAAATAATACTATTATTTGCTACTACTAATAGTGCCATGTTTACTCTATAATATATATATATATATATATATATATATATATATATACACTCTATGTATAATTTACTAAATCTTTAAAATATTAAATTGTATTGAATCATGATCTAATACAATTTTATTTTTGCTATTCTTACCTATTTTCCTTAAACGCTATATTTTTTTTAATATAAGAATAGTCAAGTCACCAGATGCTCTCATTGGTGGCCAAGGTCTTGGGAGTGGTGGCCTGGTGGTTAGAGGAGAACGTTTATGTTTCCTAAAGCGGGCTGCAAGTGCTTGGTTTGAACTCTACAAACTGCCCCTTCAGCTCCCTAATCTTCGTTGCTGCTGTCTCTTCACCACAGAAATGGCGCTAACTACCCTAAATGAATTGCGCTTTTGCGGAAGTGACGTACACTGTCACAGACCGATTGGTAGTCAAAGTTGTCCCACAGTGCACTATAGGGAAACCTGACATGATCCATTACTGCCCCATTGATGTCCTTTGTCAATCAACACCAGCAGTTGAAATGATTGGTAATCCTGTAACTGTGTGTTTTGGAGGGGCGAGGGTGACATAAAAGCATGAGAAATTACAGTAAATCTCACAGTTCAAGAGACTTATTACAAATAAGAGTAAAGATGAGGACTGGTTTGTTCTCATCTGTCAGGCAGGATAGGGAAACACCATCAGGTCCTGATATCTACACTGAAAAAAATTATGCAACCATTTTTGGCATTTACATAAGCATATTTAGTAACTTTAAGACTATTGTTTCATGTCCTACCCTGCTCACATGAAACAATCGTGTTAAAGTAACTAAATAAGTTAAGTAAATGTCAAATTCGGTTGCATAATCTTTTATAGTGTATTGAAGTTGTCAAAGGGGAGGGGTGCTGCAGGTAAAAAGTAAAGAGAGATAGGGCAGGGCTCATAGGTAGAGGTTTTGGAAGGGGGGAAGTGTGGGCTGCAGGTAGCCTATAGGTGTTATGAGTGGTTAAGGAGGTGGGAATCTATTATGGTCCTCCACATAACTGCTTCTGAGGATTTGCTGTGTATAGGTTCAGGCTCCTGTAGAAGCCAGCCAGCCTTTGGAAATTAAGGTAGGGTCACTGAGAGATAAGTCGTTTTTTTTCCCGGCCTCTTTTGTTCTTCATCTTCCTCAGATGTGGAATGGACCAAAATTCCATTTTTTGTGTGTAAAAAAATCTGTTCTGTACACAAATGTTTATAAAAACCCAATGTATGATTTTTTTTTTATTACAAGTAGATATTAGAACCCTCCTGACAATTCCTTATGTCTATTTGGTACAGTTCTAGTCTTAAATAAGGGATTTAAACTCCCCATTCTCCTATATTATTTTGATTATTCTGATTAAAATAATAAAAGGCGGGGTGTGCTTTGGTGGCGCAGTGGTTAGCGCACATGACCCATGAATGGAGGCCTTAGTCCTCGATGCGGGCAACCCGGTGTTGAATCCAGCCTGTGGTCCTTTCCCGCATGTCTCTCATCCTCAGTCATACCCCCTTTCCTGTCAGCCTACTGTCCATAAAACGGGCCACTAGTGCCGTAAAAACTCAAAAAAAAAAAAAGACAATACATTAATTTTGAGGAATATTTTTTATTAGTGTATACATCAATGGTGCTCATATGTACATTGAAATTTATCTAAAAAGTATTTAAGTTCACCATACTGAAAAGAGTAGCTTTAATAGTCATTACTCAAGGTTTACTACTTTCAAGAATAATAAAAACAATAAATGTACCTTGATAAATCCTACACACTTTAATCGGATGAATCCCAGTCAGTCTATTTTCAAATACAAAAATACATCAACTTTAAATCCGTTTTCCAAACAAGGTTGAAAACATCCATTGAAGTATTGGTCAGTTGAAAGGCACAATCCACAGTACACAACATCTTAAAAGACATGGTTGCTAAACAATAAATGAATCATATTTTTTACCCATTTAGTATTTATATTTACTATCCATTTTTCAGGTTATAATGCTTTAAATGTCCTTAGGATAGACTATAGGTTTTGGTTTTTCTGTTCTCTGTTTCTTTTTTGTTGCATACAGTTTAAACCTCAGTGAACAGTTATGCAATGTGCAATTTGATGATGGAAACAGATAAGACCATAAAACCTTTCACTTTTCTTTTGGAAAATTCAACACAGATGAAAAGGCAATGCAGAAAACAGCAAATGCATTAAGTTAAAGAAATAAAATGATAATTAATCTCCTGCAGGCAATTGTGGCAGCGGATGAGATCAGTCAGTCATGTTCAACAAGTTCACCATTTTCAAACCTCCCAAAATCAAAGCCTGTAAAAAAATAAATATAGATATTATTAGGAATTACATTACTGGGTAAAGAAAATATACATTTTTGAAAGCAGTTTCTTAACCATTATGAGGGAAACTATAACTATGGAGATAAAATGAAGGAAAATGATGCATACTAGAAATATAATTTTCCTAAACTTTAAAAAGATGCATGAAAAGTCAAAAATCCTTGTAGGAACATAAAACATGATTCCACTGGAGCTGTGAGTGAATGAAAGGGACACAGCAAAGTTATTTGTGGGTTTGAATAAGATGAACATCAGAGCCGTTGTGAGCTCACAGGGTGTTAAAGCAAATGCGTCACAAATATATATACATATTTTGTTTACATTAGAATATAAACAGGTACAATATGGTTGAAATTAGTAACATTACCTGCTGTAATTATATTTGTGAAAACCATGTATTAATGAAGCTGATTCATGTTAGATTAGTGCTTGTCGATGGTCCGTATTCCTCAACATCTGCAGCATCTGATGAAACAAAAGTAAGACCTTCTGTTAAAAAACTTTCTCTTGACTTATTTTTCCTGAAGTAACTAAATCATATTAAACAAGGCTCCAAAAATATGCAGTAAACAGTACTGTAAAAAAAAAAGGAAAAAAAAAAAACTTTTCTGTTTTTAAATCAAAATGTTTCAAATGAAACAGATTTAAAGCAAAAAGCTACCCAAACTTAGAGGATTATAAGGTATTTGGTCCCTTCTGAAATCTGTTCACTGTCATTAACCACAATATTTTAACAATATGTAAAACATTGCAGGCTCAGTTGCCTCGGTTCGGATTAGTGTTCATAACTCCGTATTAAAAATGACATCAATAACAGGCACTAACCAAAAATAAACAAAGACATTAAAATATCTTAAAGTAACTGTAGTCTGATGAGACAAATGGAAGATTTGGTTGACAATATATACGAAGTAAAACTAGTAGCATTAATGACAAATAGCAGAAAACCTCTTTTCAGCCTTCTTCTAGCAAGTTTGATCTGATCTTGAAGAATCTGCACCCAGTCTCGAGGTCCAGGCAGCTTCTCTATTCTGTGTTCAGTGCAGTACTTCTCTGTAAACACTTAACATAAATTTACAAAATATAAAGGTTGATATAAATGTAATAAACCCCCAAAACTCTGTTCCTTGGCCTGTATTTGTCCCTCACCTTTAATAGCACCAACAATGTTCTGATCCAAACCCTTTCTGTTGTCGTTGAGCCCTCGCTTCCTTTTGCCATTTGGCAGAGAGTTTGCCAAAGTAGCATCGTCAAAAAAGGCACATACCTGAAAACAAAGCACAGCCCTTGAGCAATTAGTTTATTCACTTAAATTTTTTTTATAGAAATGCCACAGATCATATTTTATAATCGTGGTTATTTATGCTTAGTGATGGACACCAATGCAATAAGATTTTCTTGTATCAGTAAGGCTTATTATAATAGATTTTTATGTATTGGTTGTTTCTTTGCATTTAAGTAAATATGTCTTAAACTCCAGAATATCGCCCCACATAATGCGGACTACTGGTCAACCGATATAAGCTGTTTAAGCCTACATGAGAGGCAGTCCTCCAAAAAATGAAATTACGTACCAGTCCTTTTATAGTTTGACACCTTTACAGGTAAAAATAAATGTCTTTAACAACTGTGGAGTGATATAAATGCCATATTTATACTGATAGCATGCCAAGAAAGAATTGCAATTACTTACCTTTTCCTTAATCATGACTAACTACCACAAATTCATTTGTATGATTACTTTTACTACATTTTTTTTTTTAAACAGAACTCTTTTTGTGTACTTAACAGTACATGTAACCCCATTTTTGCTTAGTATTTTAATAGTATTTTAGATATACTCTAGCATATATAGATTTTAAATAAAGTGCAAAATATGGTATAAAGACCAAGAGATGAAGAAATTAATCGTATATCTAAGGTGCAGAAGCTAGAAACAATGTCTAAGGTCATCCTCATTCATTTAATTGTAAATCTTAAGCTTGGGAATGGATACATACCAGTTTGCGAAACAGCAGGCTGCCAGAGCGTGTATAGTTAATCAAAATGGAGTCTAGCTGGGCCTTTGGGATGAAAACATCATAATCTTCGGCAAGACGAACCTCAGACTGTGAGGAAGTCAACAGCAAAATGTCAACAAATTTAATCTAGCCATGACATAAATGTTGTGGATGCATTGTAATAGAAAACATGAGGATGTTATCACAGCACTTAATGCATCAACAAGATGCCTAATGGCTTTCTGTAAAAGCATACATTTCTACTCATCTATCTTCTAAACTGCTATAGAAATTGGGTCTTAATAGGTCGAAAGGCATCAAAATCATAAACAAACTTAGGCCCTTGCCTCCAATGCTTGATGTTCTCTTAGTTGATTCAGAAGATAAATTTTTTTGACACAGTCTGCTTCTTGATCATGCTGAGGTAGTAGTTCAGGAACATCCCCGGAAATTGTACATGACTCTAGTTTCTCATATTCTTCTTTCTTTGCAGCTTTTGTAGATTTGTCTTTCTGGTGAGAAGCCCCCAGACAAGAAAGAGCCTTTCTTCTAGTGCTGCAGACACTTAGTGGAGCCACCTTTCTCTTCTGGGCTTTGCGGCATGAAGCTGAACCCAGGCTGATGTAAGATTGAAATGATTTAGCTTGCTCCCGTCTTGCAGAAGTTCCTAAAACAATAACAACATGTTATGTTTGCCTTTTGTTTCTGTCCTATTCATATAACAAGTCCATGTCCTGACCTTTCTGCATTATCCTCCTCATTGCTCGCAACTCATGCAGTATTGCCTGTAAGGTGCCCTTACAGTTACACATGCAGCAGGGGATCTCTGGTACAGCAGGATGAAGCCCATCTGCTGGAAAGTAAGAAGTGCTAACGTTTGTTATTTTTTTTCTCTTTAATATGCATAATTCAGCACAGTTAATTTCCGTATATGGGCTGCTCAGTTGAGTGGTGGGTATCACTGCTGCTATGCAGCAAGAAGGTTCTGGGTTTAATTCCCAGTTTGGGGTCTTTCTGCAGGTAGTTTGCATGTTCTCCCTGAGCATGCCTGGGTTTTCTCCAGGTACTCCGACTTCCTCCCACAGTCCAAAAACATGAATGTTAGGTTCGTTGGCTTTTCTAAATTCTCCTTAAGTGTGAGTGTGTGTGTGAATGGTTGTTTGTCCTGTTTTTCTCTGTGTTGTCATGCATGGACTGGCAACCTGTCCAGGGTGTAACCCGCCTCTCAATGGATGGATGGATGGATGGATGGATGGATGGATGGATGGATGGATGGATGGATGGATGGATGGATGGATGGATGGATGGATGGATGGANATGGATGGATGGATGGATGGATGGATGGATGGATGGATGGATGGATGGATGGATGGATGGATGGATGGATGGATGGATGGATGGATGCATGGATGGATGGATAGTTTTTATATATCTATAACTGCAAACATTTAAAAATGTTCTGCTTCTGTTTGGCCTTTTATGAAGTAGCATGGCTTTATTAAAACACCATACCTTTTTAGCTTTTATAAAGATTTAGGTTTAAAGGTTTAAAATGCAAAAACAGATTTGGGATTTTTTTTGCAATAATTGAACACAAAGAAGTTCCTAACAGCAGAATTTTTAAGGTGTATTAACACTCCACTTTCTAATGCCGCCCTGGACAGCTGACCAATCAAATATCCCAACGTCATAGATCCTAAAAATTATGAAAAATGACAAGCTAATAAAAAGTGTGGCATGTGTTTGTATTCACTTATGCTAATCCACCCTCAAAAATGAAATACAATGAATTAAGTTACCTTCAGAAGTCACCTAAATACTAAATACTGTCTACCTGGCAGCAGTTTTGTGTTGTAATATTACCAACTTTTCTGTGAAGACCTAGTTTGTTATTAGACATTGGTAAAGAGGTTGCAACAAGAACTACCCAGGGATAAAGTTGTAATGAAGAAGAAAAGCAGGGTTGGGTTAAAAAAAAACAAACAAAGAAAAAAAAAGAAAATCTCAAAATTTAGACATCTTACGGAGCATTGACCGATCCCTCACCTGAAAATGGAAAGAAAATATAACAAAGGAAAAATTACCAAGACATCTGCATGTACCTAAACCAATAGATCAGGAAAGGTGAGCATTGTTCAGAGACACAACCAAAAACCCTTGATAGCTCTAGACTACTTCAGAGACCCACAGTTTCAGAGGGAAAAATCTGTGAAACAGACTGTCCTCTCCACAATTCTGGCCTTTATGAGGGATAGCAAAAAGGAAGACTTTTAAAAAGAAAAGCCATTAAAAATGTGAGAAACGTCAAGGCTCAGAGTGCGTCATGGGCTGCGCAAAGCATTTTAGGATTTGCTGTCACAGAGGTCTGCTGTGGCCATAGGCTGTGGCGACTATTAATAAAGATGGCGCAGATACAGTGTGGGGAGGCGGAGTCACGTGACCAACGGGGAGCAAAAAGTAGTACTCACTGTCGGAACGGTCGGTTAACTGAGTTCAGTGTAAAGTCCACTAGATAGTCCCCGCTCTATATACTGATTGACTGATCTAGGGGTTAGAGCGGACGTTCGGACACAGCCATTATCTTGGCGCTGAAGAATGGCCTGAAATACTCATTCCATTCACCTGCCTAGCTCCGCCCAGTTCTCATTACAGTTCATCTGATCCACCTGCTTCAGCCTCTATTTAACCAGCCTTTAACCAGTAATCAGGGCAAGATTATTTTCGAGCCTTTGGTAAGAGTTCTCCAGCATACATGAGTTTTCTGATTGCCTGATCCTGGCCCATTCCGCCTCAGGAATGCTGAGCCTGCCTGTTCCTGTTCTGATCTGTTTGCCTGACCTGTCTTCTGATTCCTGCCGGATTTCTGCCTGTCTGTGATCCGAACCCGGAACTATTTTTCAACACCGAATTTGGCTTTGCCGATTATCCTGCCTTTCTTGGTCTGCTTGGCTATGATCCCCTGCCTGTCCTTCAAACTCCGGGACTTCAATGGCTGGGACTCTCTGGGCAGCGCCAGCCACATCTTGTTGGAAGCAGACTGGCTGGAGCCAACCTCATCCTCTGTGCACAGACTCAACTGTAAGACCAGGTTAAACTCACATGTTCATTATCATCCTCCACCAGATTGTCATGGTCACTAACCTGTGTTCTCTTCCTGCAGAGGTTCCTGCCTTAGACGTCCACAATGTTCACTGCAGATACATTGCTAATAAATGTTTTGAGAAATCTAGTCCTACTGTTCTGGTCGTGACAGAGCGGCTGAACACCAATCCGTGCAATACTTTTCAGCATTGCACTTATAGCAAAATTCTGAAAATCAGCTAAAATATTTTCTTTTCATTCCAAAATGTGCGTTTTTTTATTACACAAAGTACCGATAAGACATATCAAAGTTTGTTATGTGAATAAATCTGAAACAATTAAGGAGGCATGAAAACTTCATATGTTCAGGAATTTCCTCCTCTTGAATTTCCCTGACATCTTACCTTTTGTTGCAACAGGTTTTATTAAATCCTTTGCTGTGTTTTCATTTGTGAGCCCTCTGGAGCAGGTACTCTGTTGGCCACAGCCTGGACCATTTGCTAGTGAGGTTGATGTGGATGATGGTGGAGGCTCTGTGCCCCCTACTGAGTTCCAGCTTTGGCTCTGTCTACCATCCGACACAAACGATAAAATTGAAGGTGTGTGTCTACAGGTCACTTTGCCATCTTTTGTTGAGCCGTTATGTTCTGCCTCTGAGCGCAGAGGGAAGCTTCCAGTCTTATCACCAAGGAGCCTCATCATTCCAGTGATCTGTTTCTTGATTCCCATGCTCTCGTCCCCCATCCAAACTACATAAAGAGAATAGAGGGCTAGGTATAAGTAATGATATCTTAAATGAAGCGGTTACAAATTATATAGTTGGTCTTCTCATCTCTTGTATCGTGTTATATTTTTATTCTTTCTATCAGATCAAAATATTCAGCTAAAAGTCTGTTGTCCTTTTTTTGTCGTAATTAAGAAATATCTCATTGTTGTCCGAGATCAAATGCAATGTTGGATCAGTCGGTGCTCTAATACAAATAATTCTCAAAAGCAGGAATTTAAAGTAGATTCTAAAGCCTAAAAAAAGCACAGGCTTAAATGAAATGAAGAAATGGCAATTTAGGAAAAATATTTCTGATCTTTCACCATTTGATGGGTGAATCTATACTAAAAGAAAAAGTGAAGCTGCCATTTTTATTTGAAATGATTGTGATTATTAAATCCTAAAATGATCTATGGCTAGGACAAAAATCAAGTTATAGTGAGACAAAATAAAGACTCATTGTGACAATATTAGTTAATTTTCCACAAAAATAGTCAGACTTTTTTTTTTTTTTTACATAATTAAATATTGATTAAAAAACCTCTCAAAAATATTTTTTTTCATACCCAAAAAGGATGCATGGAGTCAAATTTTTTATTTCTAAGGCTTTTCAGGAACTATATGTTAAAGAATCCTTGACACAAACCTTGGGTTACAGCAGCAGAATACTTACTTTGGCCATTCACATCTCTGGAGCTGGAATTAATCACGTATGAAGAGTCCAAATCTAGACATAAAAAAAAAAAAAAAGCTAGATAATGAAGAAAATGTAGGGAAAATTATGGTATCATAATTTAAAGGATGAATCTCTGCAGGTAAACAGAGCAGCAACCGCCACCTGTGGGTTGCATAGAGTAGCTCTTCATTCACATGTTCTAGAGTCTATTTATTCACCCAAAAAAGTCAACAAATAAAGCTGTTTTCATCAGAATACCCGTGCGGAACAGGTGTTTACATTATCCACATTCTAAAGGAAAAATCCTTTAAATCCGGATGCATATGGAGCGTTGTTTTTCTTCCGCTTTTATGTGTTGCTTTTGATTTACACTATAATATTTAACGGATTGCATATTAAAATAGATGGAGGGACGCTGCATTGTCGTGGCCATCCTTTTCTGTCTGCGGATGGTCTCTGCTGGAACCAGACAAACAGCCAGACACACAGCAGCCTACCTTCATCCGTCACCAGTTTGAAGCTCTGAGACTTTCTTCTCCTCTTCCTTTCCCCAAACTCCATCTTCCAATAAAATGATCCAGAAAGTCGAGTAGCGGAGAAAGATCCTCGGCAGAACAGCAGAGACCAGCCTATAGGAGGCACTCAGCGCAAAATCACTCAATCTGCTTTATTAATCAACAATCCTCCCTCCTGTAAGGTTTTAAATCCTGATATTGGATGATTCTCGCCGTTTTAGATTTAAATTAACCCCAAAAAAAGCTCTTGGTGAAAGTGATCTCCTTGCTCTTTTCCTTTCGCCATGTGAAAACCTTAATGACTTTAATATTAACAATTCGTGACATATCCCTTTGCGCCACCTGATGGTATGATTCATTCATTCATTTGATCCAGGTCTCTACACCGCATTAACTCAGAATTACCGGTAAAATAATAATACAAACGCGTGTTATATGTTTAATCTTCACTTAATATCAGTTTCAAAACTGCTTTTTAAAGTCTTATCATTTCCAATCCAATAAAAAAATAAAATAAAAAAATGAATCTAATAAAAATCAGCCCCTACAGAAGTGTCTGTCATTGTATTCCTTTTTTTACCTTTCCAACATAGAACCAAGATTTTAAAACTGTCTCTCTAAAAAGTTTTATTTTCACATATTAACGTTTAATTATATAACACAGTTTAATTTATAATGTTTCAAATGTTTAAACACAGTAAAAAACTACTTCAAAATATATTAACCTACTTAAAAAAACAAGTTAAAAGCATAAATCTTTAAATATTAAAATAAACAACTATACCGGTACTCAAAAAAACAAACAAAAAAAAACCCTAACAGTATTTGCTTCATACTAAAATTGTTTGTAAAACCTATTGCTTTCTAGTCTGTTGTAAAAATACAATTATCAGGGTCAATGTCTGGCCTCTAAGTTTGGAACTGCCTCTATACACTTTAAAGTTTTTTCAGGCCCACAGGTTGTCCAGGGATAACCCTGATATAAGGGAAAAATCATGCAAAGGTCAATAGACTTAAACCAACGAAAACCACACTGGAGGACTGATCCCTCCATACATGAGTCACACTCACTGTGCACCACCGCCACAATCTTGTATGCACCTTTCTGCGGCCAGACTAGCATTATATACCCAGATGTAGACCCTATAAGTGATAAATGCTGTTTTTTCCTAGCTAATTTTGGACATCTGTTTTTTTTTTTAGATCATCTCTGATCTCTTTTATAATCCAATCAGATCATAATGGAATTACTTAGATCCAAACTCAAGGTGCTAGCCTTTTAGTCTTTTCATCCGTACTGACTGGAGGCTTAGTGTTGCTTTGGTGAAAAGATTTGTCCTCCCCGTCAGTCATACAGGATTAGGGATATAATGTTATGTGTGGATTTGGAAAGAATTCAAGGGTCAGAGAAAACATTTTACAGAGCAGAGTCCCTTATTGGCCATAACAGAGTCCTCTAAGTACTGCCACCCTCCATTTTTCAAAAAATATTACTTTTTTTTAATGAACTGGTTTACCAGTTATTTGTAACATGTTTTCCTGATTTCCATTTATTTTTTATTTCTACGTTTTTGTTTTTGTTCTATTGGTGGTTGATGTACTGTTTTCGTTGTTTTTTCTTTCTTCGTGTCCACTTGTTGTCTGTATTTGTCAAGGTTTTAGTATACATGGTTAAAATAAGACAAAGATTTCTGTCCAATGCTACCCTTCTCTTTTTTCTCTAAAATAAATCATATAAAACCTTTAGAGGTGCGATCTGTGTTAAACTTCTAGCATCTATGGGAGGCCCCTGATGGTTTTGGGGCTCTAAGCAGTGGCTGCGTTTGGTTCTGCCTTGGGCAGGACATTATGTTTAGGCTTCCGCTGCAAGGTGAACGTCCACAATGGTCTCAAAGGTTTTACAACCATACAGGCTTTCTGCCAGACTACCTTCCATTAAACTACATGAATTTTTACTTCCAATAGTATGTTGAAGCTTTAGTAGTGTGAAATTTTAGAAAAGGCTTGAACAAAGAATATTACACAAAAAGGGAACAGCAGTGAACACCAACATTTTGAAGACAAACTGACCCATGTATTGTTTGCTAATGGGTTATATAAATTTTAAACAGCAGTGGAGTGTTTTTACTCACATGAGAGATTGTAGGTACAGTTTTATTCGAATGTTGTTGTTTTTTTTTTTGCCTGATAATGGACAGATTTCAGATATCAGTGTCAGATTGGGTCATCACTATATTAACTTTATCCACATTTTTTTAGAAGTATCACCAGCAGGCTAGTGCTATCACCATTTTTCAGACATTGTAAAGTTTACAATGTAAACGGTGAGGTGTTGTGTCAGGTTTCTGCAGGACATAGAAGGGAGTGTGGAAAGTTTTGGTCTATTTTGAATAGAGTAGCTGTCTTTGGCCATATCTACCATGATCATCTTGTGACTTTTTCATTAAAGATAAATTAATCAGATATGAACGTTTCTGAGAAAAGCTTTGTGTCATTTTGTGTCAAGCTACTTTTCCTAATAAATTACTTTAAAAACTAAAGGTTTTAGTTGAATGGACAATAATGTGAAAACTTTCGTAGAGTTTGATCTGCTTTTCCAAACCTCAAGAACATTGAATTTTATTGCAACTTTTATTTTGAAATATTCACATAAACTTGCCAAGCTGACTCTTATTTCGAAGATTCAGGGCCAGTTTAGCTTCCGGTTCAGCCATTTGAGGGCACGAGCGTAGCTCTCCGCTACATAAAACGTTAATAAACCTTATCTTTATGAAATGGATATTTTAAAAGCTGAAATAGCAAGGAAGAGGAAACTTCTCGAAGAGAAACAGCTTGTTGACGTGAGTATTTCTAAATTTTGCAATCTTCTCTGCTTAGGTCACGGTTACATGTAGCTTAGCATTGTTAGCATTGTTAAAGCAGTTTCTTTCTAGAAACATCCTTTAAGAAAACAACAACAATCTAATATAAAGGAACGCTCCTTATAAACAACTGGTTTAAAAAATCCCCCTAATTATGTATTTCAACAAAAAAAAAACTGTCGCAGAGTTTGAACTTGTAGCAAAATATGCTTGCCGTTGTTTTTGCAACTTTTAAAGCTTTATTTTAACCACATCCGGGGATGAGACGTTTAGCTCAATATTTAGGTTTTATTTTTATCTTTATTCTTTGTACTTGCTACTCTGCCACATTTACCAATAATGTTTTACTTAAAATAAATATTGCCGTTTAAATATTTGAAATAACTTCACAATTTTGTACGGCCTAACTGAGAGCAATTGTTGACCCAGATGAAAACAAAATGTATTTGGAGTGATTTTCCAATGAAATGTGCCAGGTGAATTAGGAAAAGTCTAAAAACATATTTTAAACGGGATTCAAATGTTATATCAGTCTTTACACTATGTTGCATATGTTGCCTGTTACAAAAGCAGCAAAAACATGCAATAATCGAAATTACATTTGAAGAGAATTTTTAAGAGAAATCTAATCTAAACCGGATTAAGAGCATAGGCGTTTAGTTAATCATGCAGCAGATACACTAATAGTAATCTCTGATACTGCATTCAGATTTTAAAGAAAGAGCAACAACAATAACACAGCGATCAGGAAGGAATTCTCATCACCAAACTCTTGCCTTGGTTACTATTATAAGTGCACCAGTGTTGATTTGTTTCCCCTTTCTGTTATCTCTTACTTTTGCTGTGATTTGTGCATTGCATAGTCCATATTAATATCAATTTATTGTATTATGTGGTGCTCAGCTGGAGATTTCACAAACCAACCTTCCATTGAACATGAGACAGTCTTACCATGTTGGGGAATGTTCATTACTAAATATGCTGTGTCCTTTGAAAGTAACAATTGTCATTTTTCAGGAATCCACAAAATGCTTCAAAAGGGCTGATCTTGCACGCAAGGAAAAAGAAGAATACTTTAAAAGGTGTGGATATAAGGTAAATAACATGAGCATTTTTCTTACTCTGTTATTTTAAGCATGCTTAAACAGCTTAATAATTTAACGTTGTCAATTTTGTCTCTAGCATTGCTGTAAAGTTTCATTTTACTTAAATCCTGGTCCAGGACCTTATGTTCTAGTCTACATGAGTGTCTTTGTTTACTATGTTGTTTTTCCACAACCTGCCTCTACTGCCTACACCTGTAGGTTCAGACAGAGACTCCTAAGAGCCAGGTATGGGATTACTCAGTGAAAGTAGCAAACAGGATGCATGATGAAAAGATCTGTGTCCCTGAGGCTTCTACTTCCTTGGCATCTTCTCTGGTTACTATGGATAATAAAAACTGGGAGTTCTATTGACTAGAATAGTAATCCAAGAAATGCAGTTACTCAAATTTTAAAATCAACCTTTATTCAGCTAGTTGAAGTCCTAAAGTTTTTTGTTCAAAGGGAAGTAGATAAGGAAAGAAGAGATAAAGCTTAAAAGGGACACAGCATGATTTTGTTTTTTTCTTAGTGTGGCATATACATTTAAAAATAACCACTTTATTTGATCTGGCTGTGCTTTTTTTTTATAATGCAGAATATTTCTGAAATGAGATGGAAATTTTAGACCAACTACAAGTGGCCTGTGATTTTTTTTTTTGTCCTTATTACTTTGGCAATCCCTTCAAATATATTTTCCCAAAGTAAAAAAAACCAAACAAATCTCTTCGCCTTTCTACTTAATGTAATGTATTATGTTTAGTAAATTTTTATTTTTTGAAAACATTCCTATTACCATTTTATAGTTGGTCCTTTAGCCTGCAGCTACAACCACAATCTTAAAGGCTGAGATGCATGCGTACATTAATGCATGATTTGTTTTTTTTTTCCAAGTTTTCTTTTTTGCACTGAATATGCTTTATCCTCAGTTTGGCTTTTGAGTGTGCAAAGAATGTTGAAATCTGACATTGTGAAATACTTTGTTCAACTAGTTGATAAACAGTGCCGTGCAAAAGCTTTCATAGCCGATGAACTACCTTGCATTTTAGATACAAATGGCAATGTGCTTATCTCGGATATTATACAGGTTCCAGGTGATGCATAATTGTAAAGGCACGGCAAATAAGAAGTATGGTTTTCAATTAATTGACAAGACTTGCAGCACACACTTTTAGTAGTACGTCTATATGAGCTCTGTAAAACTAAAAGCTGAATTTCTGCCCAACTCATCCCCACAAAATATGTTCAAGATATGTCATTTTGGATAGATAGATCTTCACGTTTCACCATGGGCTTTCAGTTTAATATACAGAACCTGAGTGGCTCGATCTCATACACCAATATTCTCAGATCAAAACTATTCAACTGTACCTCTAGCTGTGTGCTTAGGGTATTTCCCCCCCATCCCAGCCCCTCATCTTTTGCCACTTCTAACAAGTTTTTGCAAGGTTTTCCTTGCATTTACCTCCTTCTGTTCACCATATCTGATCAGCGCCTTCAACAGCATGAGTAAAGAAAAATAGCCCTAAAGCATGATGCTGCCACCACCCCTTTGCATCCCTATAGAATGGCACACTTGATGCCCAGTGTTCGCCCACACATGATATTATTTGAAAGTTAACGGGCAAGATGGGGTTGAAAGAGAGGGCGAAGACCTTTGGCAAAGGTCAACAGACTGAGACTCAAACTCGTGACAGCTGTGACGAGGACTGAGGCCTCCATACATGGGTTGTGGTCTTTACCCCTGCATCACCACCATTCCCCACACACAATGTTTTCATATAGGACAAAGAGTAAAATGTAAATCTCATCCAACCAGTTTCCCTTCTTCCATATCTCTGCTCTGTCCCTTATGTTGAAAACTACAGACCCGATGTCTTAAGGATTTTTTCAGCAGTTGCTTTCTTCATGCCACTCTTCTATTAAGTCAGCTAAGGGAAGTGCATGGCCAGCTGTTGTTGTGTCAATATATTTCTTGGCCTGAGCCATTGATCTGTTCGTCTCTCCTACCTTATGCCTCCTGACTGCTCTTCTGATCTGTGCTTTCTTTGCCCGGCTGGAAGAATATTCGTAGCACTTGATTTTATTCCTGCGTATTAAAGTAAAAAGCACAAAAGAAAACCCAAACAAATACCACACGTTTCATAATGTTTTGTTTAGGTTCAGAGCTTTATAAACCGCTTGTAATTTTCCTCTGTCTTGCCACTGTGTTGATGTGTCACAGAAAATCTCACTTAATACATTTACGTTTGCAAATGTATTGTCACTATTATGAAAAGGTTTTAGGTAGTTTTGCATGGCACTGTATTCTACATCTATTGCTGTATGGAGTTCAGATGTACATGTGAACTTGACTTCATTTTAGGTAGGGGTGTCCCGATACAACTTTTTCATTTTCGATATGATACTAATATTGCGGTTTGCGATTTGGCCGATACCAATATTGACCCGATACAATATCAGCACGAATCCCAACAGCCTTTTTTACTTAATTTACACTGTAGAATGTTAGAAAAGGCTCGCTCAATTATTATTTCTAAAACAAAGGAAAAAAGGTACCGGTACAAAAAAAATCACCATGTAAAACTAACCAATTGAAAAAAATAACACTTTTTGCACATAGATATTTTATTTTAATTTGCATTTTTTGCAAGGAAATAACATTTCCATGTGATGAAGTTTTTATATTTTACAAATTTTTTTTCCCCCATATTCATTATTTCTCTTTTCATCCATGCTGTCCTGAAGATTGTTAAAACGGAGGAGAATGAACCGTCCACTTCAGCTAACCCGGTGTTGGAGCTTGAATTAACCGAGGAGAAGCTGCCGATGACTCTTTCGCGACAAGAGGTCAGTCAGCCAGTGTATGCTCCTATTTACCACCTTTCAAGTCCTTTTCCTTTTCTGTTGCAGTGTAAATTTTGTTCTTGGCACTATTTGTGCAGGTAATTCGACGGCTTCGAGAGCGAGGGGAACCAATCAGATTGTTTGGAGAATCAGATTATGATGCCTTCCAGAGACTCAGAAAAATTGAGATTTTGACCCCAGAAGTAAACAAGGTAAAAAAAAAAAGAAAAAAAAAGAAAAAAAAAAAAATCAAGGAACCTGTATTGCTGCTAAGTCCTAGAAAGCTCAAAAACAAAACCACTTTAAGGCTTTATTTTGGGTTTGGTCAGCACCTTAATATGTTTTTAATGGCTCCAGGGTTTAAGGAATGACCTGAAAGCAGCCATGGATAAGATCGACCAGCAATATCTGAACGAAATTGTTGGAGGAACAGAGTCGGGGGAACCAGACACGCAGCACGATCTGAAAGTTCACGAAGAAAACACCACCATAGAAGAGCTTGAGGTAAAAACTCAGTAGAATGTTAAAAAGGGGGGAAATACCCAAAAACATTCTAGTAGTAAAATTAGATTTTATCAAATATTTCAGTATTCATAGTTGATTAATCATAAACCATTTATTATAGCATTTTCTAATGTATTTTCTCTTTTTTCCAAATTCCTGTCTAGGCTCTTGGAAACACCTTGGGCACTGGGGATGATAGTGGAGATCAGGATGTCATTGCCAAATTTTTAAAGGTAAGACTAAAGAAACTGCCCGATTTGTCTAGAGGGAGCTGATTAATAATATAGTTTCACTTTTTTTATTCACTAATATCAATGTATTTTTCATCCACTTTCTTTATAAATATTGTGTTGGACTGTTGGGTTTTAAAGCCAAACTGCCCCATTGTCATATTGTTTTTTTCTTTTTGTTAGCTGACAAAATGCAGCTGTGTTTCTCTGCTGCTGTATAGCTGCCCCCTCTGCCACAGTAACAACCTCAGACTGGGTCAATTTACAAAATGGGGAGATAAAATCGGTCCCTCCAAGTATGAAACAAAGGAATGAAACAGAGGGCAGTTGGCAAAGATGCCAAAAAGTAAAAGATTGATAGACAACCATCCTTTCATACTTATTTTACACTGTAGAAAAGATTGGTAGAGCAGAGAAAGTTGTGCAGGCTGTAGTCAGTGTTTAAAAGTAAATTTTTTGCATGGTAATCTGCGTAAATCATACATCTGCTTCATTTATTGACATTAATATCAGGTTATACAAGCTAACCTAACTTATTTTCTTTTCTGACTGTGACATTGTGCCAGACAGCAGAGCTGGAGGAACAAGCAGCACAGCACTCACACTCTGCTGGAATACCTTTTGGAATTTATATGTTATATATTATACACTGTAATTTACTGCACCTCAATTCCAGTCAACTAGACACGGAAGTACTGTTTAACTTTTGTGTAGAGAGGAAAATGCAATTTCATACTTTGTCATTTAGTTAGTGGGTTTTATCATATGAATCAGATTCCAAATGAAATGAGGGGAAAAATTGATAAATCATGTTTAAAATCATTAATAAGTCTGGCAGATTTAGATTAAAGTCTGTATGGTTCAATCTGTTAGGAACTAAAGCAAGAGGAAGAAAGTATGAAATGGGTTTGGCCCTCCCTGCAGAAGGTGTGCCACAAATTAAGAGGGGGAAAAATTCCCTCGAGAAACCTGTCTTATAAAACCGGTGAAGCGGGTCAGAGATATTTTGAGTTGGTGTTTAATCATGTTGGTCCTGCACCATCCTTTGCATATAATCCCATCGCCAGTGTTACAGGTAGCAGGGTGGTCATGTCTTTAATTCACTGTAAGCCACACTTTAAAACGCTGCATCAAAAACAGATGGTTGCTCACTGCAGATTCTTTTTCGCCGATATTAAGCAGCTTTTTTCCGGTTGGCGGACTGAGAATGTATCGATTCCAGAAGAATTGAAAGGTCAGAACCAGTTCCAATCGATTTTCAGTTCTTGGTGCCGAATCTTATTGACAACTGATATCCCGCTGCTGCCGGTGTCCAGGCTGCCTCCTGAAGGTTATAGTCACATTAACCTTCTTTTATTAGCATATTAATTTAACTTAATTTTTCATTAAAGCCAAAAAAGAATGAACAACCACACATTAATCATCACTGCAGATGATTAATATGCAAACTATACCTGACTCACTACGGTAGTTTGCATATTAAGGGAGATATCAACATCTCCTCCCAACATTGAAAAAGAAAATAAACAATTTACTTTTTGCGCTACACCAGTAAAAAAATCCTAGTGATAACCCCTGTATGTAATGCATGCTTCCCACACTGTTTTTGGATTTATGTTTAGGCAGAGCACATATTTGTATTCATCATAACATCTGCATTTTTTTCAGCTCTAAGTTGGACCATATTTTTAAAAGATTAGATAAAAAATACGTAAATAAGTATGCTACAACAATTTTTATGACTGATCCATGCTTATTCCTCATTAGAGCAGAATGGGTTTTTTTGGCAACTCATTGCATAGCAATGGCCCATCCCTAGCTATAGTTATGGATAGGGGATGTCCTATCCAGTAATATATCCATTCATCCATTTTCTCCTGCTTAGACCTTGTTAGGGGTCGTGGTGCGGCCGGTGCCCGTAGAGGCGGTACCTGGACAGGTCACCAGTCTGTCGCAGTGCAGCACAGAGACACACATCCATACACACACACACACACACACACACTCACAGCTAAGAAAAATGTAGAGAAGCCAACAGTCATGTGTTTGTACTGTGGGAGGAAGATAGAGTACCCGGAGAGAACCCACTCGTACACAGGGAGAACATGCAAACAGGAATAATACCTAGAACCTTCTTGATGCAAGGGAACAGTGCTACCCACTGTACCAATGTGCACCCCAGTAAAATATATCAAGGATATAACCTAGAAATCTATTCTAACTCGTTTAAAAGGAAGTAATTTACACCATGCCTCACAGGAGACCATATTAAATGGGCAGGTGTTTAATTAAAGCTTTCAGTGAAACAAGTTTTACCTAGTTTTGGATGAGTTACAAACTCCATAGTTGTAATTTGAACTTTATGTTGAAAATTGTTTTTTTAGTTTTAAAACCTAATAGTTATCACTGACCTGATTGAACCTATGAACCAGTAGTAATCCATTTGTTTAGAGTTGTTTATTAGCAGATTCCTAAAACCATATTTCATCTTGGTGTTATAGTTTCTTCTGGGTGTTTGGGCCAAAGACCTGAACAGCAGAGAGGACCACGTGAAGCGCAGCGTTCAGGGGAAGGTTGCCAGTGCAACACATTCGCAGACTGAGTCTTACCTGGAGCCTCTCTTTAAAAAGCTCAGGAAGAAGGTGATTCTTTTTAAGAATAAATGTTCAAAACTGATTTGTATTTGAGCTAAAATGACACATGAAATATTTTTTTATGTTTTGTATTTCTTTCAGAATTTACCACCTGACATAAAAGAGTCCATCACAGATATAATTAAATTCATGCTGGAGAGAGAGTATGTTAAGGTACTATCAGTTCACTCTGCTTTTGACTAATGCCTATCCATCAGTGCATATTTTAACAACCAGTTTTCATTCCAGGCAAACGACGCCTACCTACAGATGGCTATTGGTAATGCTCCCTGGCCTATTGGCGTCACTATGGTGGGTATCCATGCCCGTACTGGACGTGAAAAGATCTTCTCCAAACACGTGGCGCATGTGCTCAATGACGAGACGCAGAGAAAATATATTCAGGTGAGTTACCCTGATTGGATGCTGTCCATCAAGTCTTGTAAAAAAAAAAAAAAAAAAAAACATAGAGAAAAAGATCCATGCCTTTTCTTACAATGAGGATTACTGCAGCAGTGTCTTTATAAAGCTCAACAGTTTTTAAAACACTGCAACAGTTCCCAGTTTGTTGACAGATCATCTTAAATTTGTCTCTAAGTGGTTTTTGGCTAAAACTTATTTCTGAGTCTCTTTTCAAGTATAATTTAGATCCCTAATTTGTTCATATACCTGTTTACTCTCTGACCATAGCATAACAGGTCAGCCATCTTTAACTTTCCATGTTCCTTACCTCTAAAACAAGCTTCTGTGCAGAAAATACTGGGTCCTTGAAATCAGGACTGAAATAATTTGTTTTGATTTGTTTTATCAAAGAATCTGTCTGAATTATTTAAAAAGATTTCTCAATCTTTTTCTGTTATAAAATGCTTTTATTTCTATGCTTTGTTTTCTATCCATCTTTCTGTTAATGAGCCAGGATGCACTTTAGATGATGTTGTGCATCAATGATCCTCTGTAAATACACTTGCCTTGTCTATTAATCTCCAAGTCAGGACTTTTCAGAAAATCACAACCAATACCATATTAGATATTTATATTGTTTATCCTAGTTATTGATTCAGTTCTGTTTTTTGTTCAAATTATCAAGATAATGTCTCCTAAGCTGCTGTAAAGCATAAACCAGCATTTAGAAAAAAAAAATTCAAATCAGGTGTCTTTAACAAGCAATGTAGTCTACACTAAAGGAAAACAAAAATAAGAATAAAAGCACAAGAAATAAAAATGCTTAAAGAATTTATTAAGTACCTTGTGGAAAGCAGTTCTTGATGGTGAACATTTCATCACCGAGAACTGCTCAGCTATAGTTTGTGTTTCAATTAAACACATCATAATGTTCCCAGCTGCAAACTTTTCTTTTTGCGTGATGCTGCTAAAGGTTCTCAGTCAAAAAAAAGTAAAGAAAAACAACCACTGGACTTTGTTTCCAAGTTAGAAGACGTTTCATTTCCCATCCAGAAAGATTTCTCAACTTCTGGATTGGGAAGCGAAACGTCTTCTAAATTGGTAAACAAAATCCAGAGGTTTTTTTTTTTTTTCACTTAATGAAACTTTTTTCGTGATGTTTTCTGGTCGGAAGCTCTCTGTGAGAACTCCTTGGAGAACACTGTTTCTTATTCTTTTTAACTCTTTGAAAATAATTCCTGTAAAATTCACCATCCTCTGGCTGCTGTGCTGCAGCCCCCTGGAATTTGCAGAAGTTTACAGATGAAGACTTTACCATTGCTTCAATATATTTTGCAACAGAAAAACTTTCTTGTGTAGTTGTCTTTGTATTTACCACTCATACCACTTACACAGTAGTATGGTAATGACCTAGCTTTTTTTTTATAGGCCATTACTTGGTGTTAACACCCTCTACAGATACCACACAGCAGGAATGCCTACTAAATGCTCACAGATTTCAGTTGGTTTCTTGGCTTTTTATACTTTTTTATGTGTTTAATGCTTGTTACCTGTTTTGTTCCTTAAGTAATTGGGCTATATTTAAAGCTAATATACTTGGCTAATAGGCGTCTTACAGCAGCGTTTCTCTTCAGTAAGTAAGAGAAGAGAATATTGCCTCTTTACAACTGGCAGTATTTGCTAATATATATTCATGAAACATCTGTGGTATATGCTGTAATCCAAATTCATATCTTCTTTTAAGCAGCCAATTGATTTCCAGTCTAGTCCTGTTCCCTTAAATATGATAAAACTTAAAGTACTTCACACTTCATGCACTTTATTTTTGTATTAGGAAGCATAAAATAAAGAGGAAAGAGCTCACACCAGCACAGATCAAACTGATTATTCAACAGTTAAGTCTCAGACGTATGCATGAGCACCCTGGCAAGTTCACCCAGAGGTCAAACTTTCCTTCTGACAGAATTTGAAATGCTCAAATCTACAATTTAAAACCATTAACAATCTTCAAGGGCACTGGTTAACATTAACAGACATCCCTAAACATTAATAATATTAAAACTAAGCTTGTAAACAGATGGCGTAATGTTGACTTTTGTTAAGCTGAATTTTTGCAAAGAAGGACAAAGACGTCTGTGTGTTTTACCTACATGTGACTTACTGGATCCTCATTAAAATATGATATGAACAAAATTATCGGTGAGTAATAGCAAAGCTAAGAGAAAAAAAAACTGCCATGAGCTTCATTAAATTGCTCTACATTAAAAGTTAGAGAAATGACTTAAATCGGAGTTATTTTAAGCCTATAGCTTCATTTTTTTTTCAATGTTTACCTCTGTTTACATGCTGTTTGCCAAATTGAGTGAACCCCCTGTTTGAGCAGAATATGAGGGCTCTGGTATAGGAAAAATACATTTAAATATGTTTGGATAAAAAAGCACTTTAAAGCTCCTCAGTTTAGATCCCTTTATGTATTATCATGGTATGGCTTCATTAATGATACAATGCAATAAACTGTTAAATAGTGCTCCATGCTGTCGACAGAGAGGATGGCTGTAAAGTCATTCACTGCAGAGTTTGCTTGCAAAGATTTTTTTAAATTACTAATTAGATTAATAAACTAAACATGGTAGTATAGTTTTATAACTCTGATACAATTGAAATGCAGTCATGTTCTATGACAGTATTCATTATTAGACAGAAGAAGTATTTGTTTTTGTTTTAAACCATCTTCAGATTTTTTTTTCTGAGAGGCGGCTATATAGATAGTTAAATTAAAATTGAGTTTATTGGCTTGACTTAAAAAAATTTTTTTTAATATAAACATAATGAAGGGTTTTCATGTTTAGAAACCAAACCATTACTCTTTCCTGTTTAAAAGATGAATTGAACTCAAAATAAAAAGCAAGACTGTCTTTCACTCAATATTTATTTTTCCTTTTCTGCAGGGTCTGAAGAGGCTAATGACTATCTGTCAGAAACACTTCCCAACTGATCCATCTAAGTGTGTGGAGTACAACGCTCTTTAACAAGGGACTTTAATACTGGGAGTTTTTTTTCAAACCTGCTCATTTATTATGATGTGACTGAATATCAGTTGATACTGTGTCTCAGAAACTTCAGACATGAATGTCTTATGTATAAAATACACCAGAACATGGCTTGGGTAAGAAAAGGTCAACAGTATATGGAAAAGATGTAAAACACATGGCAGATGTTTGGCTTTTTTACTTTTTCCTTTCTTTCTGGAATATTGTTCAGCTTATGCTTTCAGTGAGTTATTTACAAGCTGTGTTACAAGAACAGTAAAGCTAAGTTGATGTAGTGTAAGTTTTATTACACCTGAAATATGAAAAGTATATTAAACATGTGATAACTGTTATTGGTCAATCTTTATGTACATTTTGAAGAAGTCCAAATTCCTATCAGTATATAGATATACCTTTGTAGGGAGAGTTTGAAAACAGTGTAGTTTCTTTGGCCATTACCTCTTTGTTTATGCACAGCAAAACTTACCTTCCAAAGATACGTTCTGCTCTGGAATTGCATAGATTTTCTTCCTTCTGCAGCTGAGCTGCTGAGTGGAGCTACTTTTAGTTGCCATTGTCCTTTTAATCAATACAACTCCTGTCAATAAAGACACAATAAAGACTCCGGAAGCTGCTGTTCTTCCTAGGAATTCTTAAGTAACACCTAAACCAAATGTAAACATAACTGAAACTTTATTTTTTCTGTAAGAATGACTTCATAAAAAGTCAACAGAACGTAACCTTTTACAATGACTGCTAATAGAAGCCCTTTAGTAATGTTCAAACAACATTGGTTCGACATTCAGCATCTAAAGCTGACCTTATTACTCTGAGTAACCATGGTGATGTGATTTGCTCCTTGTGGTGATAGTATGTTCTTGGCTGCCTCAGACCACGTCATAGCAGTTACAGTCTGTCAGCTCTGGACACGTAACTAGAGGCTCACAGAGGCAGGTTGACAGCTGGCATTGCGAAAAGAAGGAACACCACTTCCTTCTATTCGCCGGTCTAAGCAATTGACATAAATAAACTGCCTTATCTGAGGTCTGTGCGTTCATCCGGGAAGGCTTTCACCCTCCTGTCCTTGAGTTAAAGCAAACTAAATATTTTGGCTTCTTTCCAATCTAATCTGATGTGTCACTGTTATCAATGATGTTTGCCTTGAAATGTCCCATTAAAGTGATGTTCACCTGAATATATAGGCTCTCTTTGTTTTCTTTCACCTCACTGGAAAGTTATACACTTCAGACTAGTCTTACAAACAGTGGTTATACCTTTTTTTTAAATGGATGACAGAAAAACATGAAACAAAAGCACCTTAAAGTGATGCATTCTGATTGAGAAATGTACATTTAATCATAGCTCTTTCAGCCAGAGATTTATTTAGGACTTCTGCATTTTTTCTTTTTTTCTCCAGAGTGGAAAGGTAATACCATGTATATCTACAGTGAAATTTATATAAGAAATGTCTTAATATTCACAGAATATAAAAATGAAACTTAGCTACTCAAATATGTATAACTACATCCCCTCTAATATTTGGTCAAATGTACCTTAGCAAGTTAGTTTACCTTTTTTTTTTTTTGCAGTCATCAAGCAAGCTCTGGTATGATTTTGGATTCACATTTTACATCTCAACTTGAAGGTTTTGCATAAATAATTTAAACCGCTGTTTCCTGGCTTAAAAACAGACCATAAACTTCAAGAAAAGCGAACACCAACCTGCCAAGAAAATGTCTATCCATTCCAAAACCAGGTCCAATGAGGTTGGGATCATCAACCTGATGGATCTGCTTTTAAACCATGTAGCTACTAATGCCTGCAGGAAAGAGAAGAACTACCTTGCTTGTGTTTTTTATGATAATGTATGTTGCCTAAAGGTCTGCATATTATGCTGCTTTTAATGCTCTTAATTTTAATTTCGGCTCTGGGGATTAATAAAGCTTTTTCTAGTTCTGATGTCAGGTTAAAAGGTTTAGAGACTGTCCTTCATAAATCCATCTGCTCTGTGCAATACACCAGCAATTCTAACAACTGGCCTTTATCATGATGCTGGCACATAATATGCCACAGAATTTATGTTGCACTCTTTTCCCGACTGATACCTTTAGTCTGTTTTAACCTATTTGTAGGCTTAAGTTTTGGTTTAATCAGTTAACCATAGTGTTACCATATTTGAAAGCGTGTGTAAATGCTGAAACTAATCTTCCGTATTTAGAGATTTCTGCTTTATGCAACCAGGTTATAGAAGTTTTTTTTTATTAAATTTAATCAGTATTTTCTATTCTATATAAAAAACAGCCTTTAAATTGGATTTTTACTTTTGAAAACTGTACAAGCTCATGGTGGTATTCCAACTGGAAATGTTTGTGTAGCATTAAAACTACACCATCTTTTAATATCTTTATTCAGTGTAATCAAACTTGGTCACATTATTAAAACATGAACAAGAAGCTGCAGAGTTAATTGATCTCTTCATGCCGCTCATCCCGCCTGTGGCTCTCTAAGTGAATATTAACCAGTCAACAGGGAGGATTTGTATTCATCATGTCACAGGGGTTTGAATTTTTTCTTGAGTGGCAAATGACATCAGGTTTATACTGCTTTCCACAACTGCTCATCAGATGTGGGTAAACTGATCCTAACCTGCTCTCCTATTTTTTTAATCAGGCACAATGATAAATGCTGGGTGTTTTCAGAGTTTATATAATGAATTAATATATGATATAAAAAAATCAATAATTATTTTGCAATAATTGTGCATTCCAACAAATATTTTTAATCTAAATTTAACCGCCTTAAGGAATAGGTGAGGTACTTTTCAGCACCGAGGAGCTAAGGGTTCTGCATAGCGATCCGGAGTGACTGTCTGCTGTTCTACAGTGATTCTGCAGCCTTCTCATGAATTGAGCGCAGTGCTCCAACCTCTAGGGCACCTCTGCCTCCATAATGATGTACGTCAACAAATTCAGATCCTTCAGATTCATATAGTTATCTTAATCATAGTGCATAGAGTTACAATGGTGTAAAGATTGGAGCAAAATTGTTAATTATTTTCTGGTTTATCATGTAGTTATGCCCTGCATTATAGAGGTTTGAAAAGATACTTTACAATTTAAGAGAAAATGTTGCTTTTAATTTGCATTGCAATCTTATTGAATGTGAAATTAATAAACATCTCTGATTTAAAAAAAAAATCTGAATTGAAACCAGCAGTTTAGAAAGCAGGGCTGTCATTAGGGCTGTTAATATATCATTTAACCATGTTTCACGTCATGAGTCACCTCAGTTACCTCTTTGTGAAAACAGCTCATTAGTCTGTCTGCTTGCAGAGGCAGTTTTTTTTAAACTGCAATTAGAGCTTTACTGCTCTTCTCATGTCAAATGACTAGACAGTGTGATAGTTGCCAGGCACCTGAGTGGAGGTGAAAACCAATTACTGGTGGAAGTGTAGTGTGTCACATCAGCATGCCTCTCTCTCTCTCTGTTTGTCTTTCCCCCACATGCTTTTATTCCGATGATTGACAATGTAAATGGATTTATAACAGCAGACCCTTTACCATCAGAAACAAATACACCTGTGCAAATGCATTGACTTGTATTCAGTGTCACGGCCACATTGAAAATGTTCCATTTATATCCAGAGCTTAAAGGTCAGCGAGTTAGTTAAAATGTCAAAGTCCATAAGAGTCACAGAGGAGAGACGGAATCTACTGAAACAATAACCCGAATTTATCTATACGATAATTTGGTTTAATAATTTTAATGAGGGCCATACAAGAAGATCCATTGTAATTTAGTGATGCTTATCGTCTCTTGATTGAAGACAAACATATAAATAATGATGCAGGAAATGCAGTGCCCCAGTACGCTTACTTCACAGCTGTACCTCAAGGAAACAAATCTCTTCATACAAATTTGGCCTTGTCTTTTGAGTAGACATCACTATGGTTACACGTCTTCATTGTTACAGCTTCCTGAAATAAGAGAAGATGAAAGTGGAGGTAAATGAAAAGGGGAAGCAGGGATGGGTCTGCAGGCAGGATTAGATGCTAACAATGATTAACAGAGATCAAATGAAATGGAAATCCATGTGACGCAGAGAGATCCCTGGGCAATGAAAATAGGGTGAGATGTTTGTTCAAGCATTTGACCATCAATATCTAAATATCATTTTTTTTTTATTTGCGAGTAGTCTCAGATAGAATCAGTAAACACTAAAGATTGTGTTATTCCTGTTGTACTAAATTAACAGTGTTTATCAGAAGTTTATAGAGCACAGTTAAAACACAAGGCATTGGTGATAATGAGAAAGGTGAATTTGATAAAGCATTTAAAAGTTAAACAAGACATTTAACCTGCACTATTCAACTGAAAAATTAAAAAGAAAGTTTAGGGGAAAGATATTTGAAATGAAAAGATCAAGTATTAGCCTAGTTGCATAAATCTAACCTGTAAATTACACTTTTAAAGAAGAAACATTTGATTCACTACAAAGATTCTGTCCTGTTGGGTAGAAGCTGCCCATATTTGATTTTCCTCAAATTTGTTTGTTTGTATGTTTTAGCTAAAGCCATAGTTAATGTTGACCCCCTGCCTGATTTAAACCACCTTATTAGAAAAAGGTACTGGACAGTTGCAGCATACAAAAGAAATATGGCACATCAGGTTAAAGACAGAAAGTTGTCTGTCCAGAACTGGTCAGGGATGCTGTCAAAAAGCTTCAGCAACACTGAAGGAGCTGCAGGATTTTCTGCTGTTGTGGGAAAAATAATTTCCTCATCTTTTCCTCCATATTAAAATATGAATGTGAGCTTGTTTTTTTTTTCTTCCTGTTTTACAGGTAATCACCCAGGCTGAACAACAGCCAGACAAGACTAGGCCTGAGCCTTGTCTTTCTAATGCATGAAAAGCTGTTTTCTAGTGTAAGATGTTTTGGAAGGGGAGCCAGACTTCTCTAGATTCAAAGTTATTTAACATCCCTGTTTGTTCCTAACTGGTTTTCAATGTTGCATTTAATTTTCTCCCATATATAGTTAACGAAATCCTTTGACCGGAACAGGCAGGCAAAATTTGCGAAGAGTATGTCTGTTTTTTTCTTGCAATGATTAATGAATGTTGCTTGTATAAAAACCACTGATCTCATTCTTGTTGAATAAGCAAAAATATTTTTATCTGATAACAATTGTTCTGTCTTTTGATAGAATGACAAAAATTAAACCAGTTTCCCTTGATATGAACATGTCTGGACTGATAGAATAAAATTTTTATTTATTATTACAGACTTGCATAATATATAATGATGTAGCCGAATACAATGGACAATTACTTTCAAGAAAAGTATATTTGGATGTAAGCAGATTGATTGCGCAAGACTCCAAAGTCAAGTCTGGTGCACTGATAAAAAATTGTTAGTACTCAAGAGAAAATTAGACATAGGATGGTGAAAATGGTGAATGCGATGTTTTCTCCTAAATCACTCATATGATCGATTTAAAAATGAATGTGATCATATGAATGGTTCTTGCATTAGGCTCATTGATGATTTAGCAATACCTCACACCAAATATGCATGTATGTGGTGACGGTGGAGAGAAAAACTCAGGCTCAGTGTGAGCAGCCATTTGCTTATGTCGACCGGAGTTCAAGGAGATAAAAGAACACGTAAAAAGAAGCTGAGATATAAAAGGTAACTGTTAACTAGCTCCACAGGCGGTCCTGTCCAGGAAACACACAGCCAGGAAGACGAGCTCCGAGCCAGTTCCAATGTCAGAGGAGGAAACAGATCACTACAGTGATGGATTTTATACACCAGAAGGCAGACAGTCCATGGGATGGGACTTGGAAAAGCAGAAGAAGCAGTCAAAAAAAGGGCTTTCCTACCTTTGGATTCCAGCACAATTTTTTTTTGGTGAGAAATGATATTACAAAAGAGAGTCAGTGATCCTAGAGATCCTGTTTCAGATATACTGAGGAGGTTGTGGCGTCTGGGGGCCAAATTAGAGCTAGGAAAGATCAGCCAATTGATGAGGGTAATGTAAGCCACAACATAGTTTACATTTTCTTTTCCATAGTCTTTAGCAATGAAAGGAAACTGTTTTTTTCCAGATTCATTTCTGCATCTTGCAATGAAGAAAACACTTCCTGACAGACTGGAATTACATGATATTATCTACATATGAAAGCAGAATTATCTTTAAAAAGGGTGATATGCTACTGTGGGCTCTGAAGTTTAGGTTTACCAAGCTTTCTCTGCTCTAGGGTGATTGTTTTGGGCCAGCAATATCTCTTTTGGTAAAATTAGAGGCAGCTTTTAATTCCTAAAGCAACCAGATTTTGAAACTCAGCTATACCTTTTCATGTTAGCATAAGGACTGGACCGTAAAAGAGGTGTTTTATCATGCCTTTCACATGTTTAACAACAAGACAGGCTCTCCTTCTTTTTTTCCCCCATTGCTTTTTGTATTCTCGATAATGTTATGAGAGGCCTTTTATGTAGCTTAGGCAATTTGAAGAGGAAAAGGTCTATGCATGATCTGACACAGCAGTAAAATACATACAGGTTTATCCACAAGACAAATTCTCTATTTCCACAGCAGCTGCTCAGTGAGGTATGATCAGTTTCCCTCTCTTCATAAATTGTGTGGTCTGTTGTTTTTATTCCATGCTGCGCATTTCTTGGTCCTGACAAAGGCAGTGGAAAGAAGCTATTTGCTATAAAAGCACTGTCTGTGCTGCACTGAAATGTAAACACAAAAGCACCAGAGAGAAAGGAAGCAATTTAATCAAATGGAATAAAATCTATAGTTAGTAACTTGTGAACTCAGGAGAAAAATACAAAACATCCGACAAAAAAGAAGGACAAAAAACTGTTCTTGCACTGATTAAGTGCTTTAAATAAGTAATGTCACCCCTTTAATTGATTACTGTCCATCTCTGAAATAATATATTCTTAAGTTTGGAAATATAAAGGTAGACCATCCAGCTATCTTTACTTATTGCTGTCATCATTGTTCAAGCTGTGATTTATGAACCCATGGTATCTGCAATCAATAGCCCATGAACTCTATACGTATTATTCTGCTTAATTGGGAAAAGATACAGTGAGGAAAATAAGAATTCAAACAGCCTGCTATTTTGCAAGTTCTCCAAATTAGAAATCATAGAGGGTTCTGGCATTGTCATTGTAGGTGCATATCCACTGTGAGAGATGTCCATCCATCCATTTT